CGCTCAGCAGTGGGCACTTATAGGCTGATGATGATGATACCAACAAAAGCCTGACACCTTACCGCCCGTCCTAATGCTGAAGAATAAAAATAAATGATATTTTCATCATAACAAACAAAACAAGAAGTTATCCAGGATCACTGTAAAATCATATTAAGTTTTCAATGTCGTTAAATGACCTTCGTTATAATATGTGAAAATAATAACATTTTCTTTAGATATTTTTTTATGTTATAGGTCGGCAAACGAGCAGACTGATTACCAGATGGTAAGCAATTAGCGCTTGGACACCCGCAACAGCAATGGAGTTACGAGTGCGTTGCCGACCTTTGGGGGATTAGGGATTTGGAGATTTAGGGATTGAGGGAGGGGAAGGATAAGGCCTCCGGTAACCTCCCTAACACGGTGAAACACAACGCTGCGATTGTTTCACGGCCGTTTCCGTGGTTTCACTCCGGTCGAGCCGACCCTTTCGTGCCAAAGCATGGCTCTCCCACACTTACACGTAATTAGAAAATTTTAATTTGGTATTTATTATTTTGATGATTTTAATCGTTAGCGATTTTCTCATTTGTAGATGGATGAAAATCGTGACTGGGAAACAAATTCGAACTCATTCGCTTATTGTTTGTAACAAGTAGGTATAAAAATATATCATACAAAATGGTTTAGTTTATAGTGTCGTTGCAACATTACTTACGGACTCAGTTTTTTTAATCAATTGTTTTACATGTTCTTAATTTTTATTAAACAATTGTTTTCTGTTTAATTTTTTTTCAAATCCAAAGCTATTTCTATGCTGCCAGCTAATATGGAACAAGTGTATACAAAAAGTTTTATCATGAAATAGGAATTCGATATAATAATTACACATAGGAATATTGACTTATGCAGATTTTTGGTTTAAAAACTATTAAACCAAAAATCTGCAGAAGTCAATATTTCACGCGGGTGAAGTCGAGGGCAAAAGCTAGTAATTATATACATATATTAAAACTTGCTGTTTTTTAGTCTCGCTAAAACTGGAGAAAGGCTAAACAGACATGGCTTATTGTGGTCTTGAAATACTCCTCGATATTGTCCCCATTGGCCACCCTGCATGCTACGTATGTAAACCCATGTTTTCGACAAATAAAATTTCTTGTATCTTGTACAGGGAAGGTTTAAAAGGTCACAAAATTTAAATAACAACTAAATCCAAACTAATAGGTATATTATTAATGCGAAAGTAACTCTGTCTGCATATATTTTCTTCACGCCTAAACTACTGAACCGATTTCTGTGAAATTTGGTACAGACATAATTTGGAACTCCTCGCAAAACATTACGCTACAATCAAATGCAGCCGAGCAGCGAGTGAAACCGCGCGGGAATAGCTAGTAATACATATTTTTGTCAATCCCTTATAGACTGTTTTTACAGTTTTGTGGGACATTGTAATTAGTTCTTAAGTTTACTCTGTAATTTTATAAAGAATAAATAAATACCTACTTAACATCATCGTATAAATATGTGGCGCTTGCAAAAAGAAAAATTTGGTTCTCCTTCCAAAAAAATGTTTTAAAAATAATTTATCACATTTCTTTGACGTCAAGTTTGAAATGACAAAGACAAACGTGTATGTTTTCACTCTATCCAATTAAATACTTTAATTCGTTCATACTTCAAACATTAAAAAACCAATTTCCAATGTCTTGACCCAAAAAGACAAGGATAGAAACATATCGTATTCCCTCTTTAATTAAAGCCATTCAAAATTAAATGACGTATCGGGTACTTAATATAAAAATGGGTAAACAAGTAAGTTTGAAAAAATTATTCAAAAAATATTATTATTTGACAAAATATAGGAGCATCGTTTATAATTTTTACCTTGACTTTTTTTATTCAGTTATTAATAATTGCTTAATGAAAACAGGTCCAGGCAGGACCACTTTTTATAACAATGGCAGTCTCGTAGAGACGTCATGAGATTTAATATTAGAAGAATTTACTCATTTATTTATTAATGATGCGCTATGGATAACGACATGAGATAAAATTTTAAAATCTATCAAGTCTGTCATTTAGATAATGGAAAAGAAGCAACGATGTATGAAAATGGACCCGCATTCCCATTAAGGATTTAAGTTGGTTTACCTACAATAATACAAGCTGTGCTCCGCGGTTTCACTCGCTTAGGATGTAGCCTATGTTCACCAGAGATACTAGTGTAGCTTCCTAACAGTAAAAGTATTTTTCGAATAAGTCAAATAGCTCCGGAGCATATTCCATAAACAATAAAAATATCAGTAAGTATAGATGATAATGCCCTATCCTACTAATATGCTACTATGCTACTGTAATAACTATGTGAAAGTTTGTGAGAATGATTTTTTTTTGTGGTATAAGTTGGCAAACCAGCAGGCGGATTACCTGATGGTAAGCAATCAGCGCCGCCCATGGACATCCGCAACACCAAAGGAGTTACGAGTGCATTGCCGGCCTTTTGGGGACAGGGGTTGCGTATATAAGGATCGGGAAGGGATAGGGGAAGGGGCGGGATTGGGCCTCCGGCAACCTCACTCACACGGCGAAACACAACGCTGTGGTTGTTTCACGCCGGTATTCTGTTAGACCGTGGTATCACTCCACCCATTTGCGCCGAAGCTTTGGCTCTTACACACTTACGTATGAAAGGATGTTTGTTATTCTTGCACGCATAAACGTCTGAACCGATTTGGTTGACATTTTGTATAAGTACATAGATTATAGGCTACCCGTGATATAAAAAACTTTTTATTAACGTACAACAGGGACGGAAGCTAGAAGATAATAATATGATTAATAATTTGATTTTAATTTGCTACTATAACTATAACATAACTATAACAGGTTTTTAAAAGGAATAAAAGCGTGATACAATATAGTTACCGGTATAATATACGTATCAATTTTCTCATACCTGTTATAAAACTATGACGCAAGTTTTGTGATTGAATAAAAAATGCATCAAAATGTAAAATCAAAAACCAAAAAATATGATGTTACACATACCTGCCTACAAATTTACCAATGTATATGTATATGTATTGGTAAATTGTAAAAACCCCACGATGAGGTGATATTTCGGATTGTGCAATGATAGACTAGACAAGCCTACATCTATTATAAAGAGGTAAAATTTGTAAGTTTGTATGTAGGGGGTAATCTTTGGAACCGCTGGTCCGATTGCCAAAATTCTTTCACTGATAGATAGCTACAATGTTCTTGAGTGAATAAATGGTGTCGAGCAGCGGGTGAAACCGCGTGAGAGTAGCTAGTAGTGTATATAACTTCTATTTTTGGAATATGAAGCGAAATTAGCAGTTATTTTTAAGTGTGGGAGAGCCAAGCTTCGGCACGAATAGGTCGGCTCGACCGGAGTGATACCGGAGTGATACGTTGTGTTTCGCCGTGTGAGTGAGGTTACCGGAGGCCCAATCCCTCCCCTTCCCCTATCCCTTCCCAATCTTTATATCCGCAACCCCTATCCCCAAAAGGCCGGCAACGCACTCATAACTCCTTTGGTGTTGCGGATGTCCATGGGCGACGCCGATTGCTTACCATCAGGTAATGCGTCTGCCCGTTTGCCGACTTATTCCATAAAAAAAAGTTTTTAAAGCATATTGATACCTCCAACGCCAGAGGACTAACAAGTGCGTTACCGGCCTTTAAAGGAGAGAAGAATGAGGTCTAGTAAACTCATACAGTCACGCAGAAAATCAACACAAGCATTATTTCACAAAATATTCTGTGAGGTTGTGGTCCAGCATTTTAGCGCTCAATCATATCTCTAGCGATAAGAAAAGATACTTATATCCTTACTCCCGGTTTCAGTCGCCCCTCCTCTCCTTTTGGTCGTAGCGTGATGTTTGATCGTCTATCTATAGCCTTATTCGAGAAAAGCTCTATCTAACACAAAAACAATTGTTCAATTTGTACCGGTAGTCCCGGAAATTCGCACGTTAACAAACAATATGTGGTTATCAAGGTATTTTGGTGGGAAAATACTCTTAAAGACTGTCTCGGACTGTCAGACTCTTACTAAAAGAAATAGTACCTCATCTCCATTGCAATGACAATTCCTCATTAGCACATATGCTTGCAATCACTACATAGTATAAAACAAAATCGCTTGCTCTGTCCCTATAATAATATCCATATGTATGCTTAAATCTTTACAAGTACGCAACGGATTTTTATTATTTATAGATAGAGTGATTGAAGAAGAAGTTTATGTATAATAACATCCATTCAGTACTGGAGAAATTTAGTATCAGCATTGTATCCTTGCAAAGCCGAGTTAGATATAAGTCAGAAGTACTTCTCGTCGTAAATGTCTCTTCTTTCCTTCATAGTAGTTTCACAACCAAATGGCAAAAGACGGAAGCCCTATTCATGCGTCATGTCTGTATGGCCGTCGGTCCGTATGTCACGGCCGCGCTTTTCCGACCTAATATTATATTATTGTACTATAATCATATTGTTGCAACTTGGTAATTATACGAGTATGCGTATTCAATAAATCGCAGTAATATTTTCACACATAAACATTGAAAAAAATATTAGATTAAGGGGTGTTACCATGCTTAGAACTGACAATCAAATTGTATTTTTTATCAAACCCATACATTTGAGATATCTACGTATACGCCTTCAAAAATTATATTGAGGTTTTCTAATACTTTTTGATAAACAGTTTGCGCATTTCCATAGTGATTAAAATACACTACATTAATATACAAAAACCCTGCCATAAATTGCAAAAATAAGAAGAACGATAACAGTGAAAAAATACATATACAATTTAGTGTACTAAAATTCCACCATAAAATAATATTGCTGTTTGCAAATTATTACAGCAATTTTAACGTCAAACTCAGGAATAAAATCTAAATTACCACACACCTATTTAATTACATACTTTACAACTGTTCAGCCATAAATACTTAGAATTAAAACAATATATCGGTACTTACCATTTAAATTATAAATAACACCATAACAGCTGTGTAACAAACACAACATCACAATAAACTTCTCCATTTTATCTTCTCAACTTTCTTTAACTACACATTTATAAAACTTTAACAAAATATTTTCTACTTCAAATAATTTTTTCACAGCTCAAGTCACAACTACAAAACCATCATCAAAAACGTCTATCAATTATTAAATTATGCTTAACATATTTTGTCAAATATATTTAACATCAATCCGCTTTAACGGATCTATCTAAAACGAATGAATCCACTGTATATTTTAAATAAATTTACGAATACAAGCTGACAATTATCGGATTCGTTCACAAAGTCACATTTATTTTTTTCTATTACGACCTTAAGTCACTACGTTGCGTATCGCTTCCATATCTCAATGTAAAAGCCATCGTACAGCCAGTGTGCAAACGACTTTACATTAAAATTCGTTGTCTAACACAGGTCAAACCAGTTGTATATGTAATAGTATTTTTTTTAAGTAGTACAACTTTAAAAAATCAAGGGAAGGGGTTCTGAGGCGTTCAAAGTTGATACATTCGACTAGCGTTGCTAATTTGAGCCTTTTAAATTATAAAAATGGTTACATTTTGTTGCTTAATCTATACATGCTACATAACTCATAGTCTCTAGAACTTTCGTATAACTCTTCTTTAGTTTAAGGAACTGGTTTTCTTAAATCTACTTAATTTTGGTAATTCATAGATACATCCTTTTTTTGAGGAAGGAAAATAATCAAATGGTTTCTTTCGCGAGAATGAATCAAAAATGACCTTGGAAACAAACATTTCAATCAGTATTTGTCTAAATAAAAGAACAAAGTAATATGCAAATCTCTATGTTCTCACAGGAATCCCTATTGATACTAATCACTGACCAGCGTTATTCCAACTATTCGGCCCACGAGGTAGTCTCCAGCAATGAACCAGTATGCCTGTCATTATCTGCCATTCGTTTGGCACGGGTTTCCGATAAGTCCCGCTAAGTGCTAGGCCCTTAGAGGGTGCTTTAACTTGATCTAGTGGCACCTATAATAAAAAAAACTACGTTTAAAAAAACCGACTTCAAAAACAAAAAAGTGTCAAATAAGTAATTAAAATTGATATTCTAATAGCACTCTTACGTACGCGAAGCTAATACTTTTAATATTAATAATAAAACACTATCAATTCTATGTGCTACCTATTCATAGGTTTGAAGTCGGTGCCAAGCCTAATACACAATATAATAAGCATGATTACATGAGTACCTACACTCGCCGGGCGCGTGTGAATTTATTTGTTAGGATTTAAGAAATGTAGTACCGATTTTCTAACTTGATGGCGTAAGCGTAGAATCAGAAGTCTATATGGTTGCGTTACCGGCGAAACTGTATATAGCTTAGAAAGATATTTGGATGAATTATGAAAGTTTTCTCGTACATGGTTGTTAAAAGTAGTAGTAGATGGCTGCGTTGTTAGTTGTGGAAATTTCGTCTTTCAGCAATTAAACAGTCTTAATTCTCATTTAGTTTTATTCTGTTTAGGGCTTGGCACCGACTTCAAATCTATGAATAGGTAGCACATAGAATTGATAGTGTTTTATTATTAATATTAAAAGTATTAGCTTCGCGTACGTAAGAGTGCTATTAGAATATCAATTTTAATTACTTATTTGACACTTTTTTGTTTTTGAAGTCGGTTTTTTTAAACGTAGTTTTTTTTATTTTTTACTTTTTAGTATCTGTTACAAGTTCTTCTGTAAACTACAGTAACATTTTAAACATAAATAACATATTGAATAGTATATACTTTTTAAGTAGCTTTGTGTACCTAGGCCAACGAAAGGAGCCGCTCGCTCTCAAGAAATGGGAAAGTTCTCATCATCATCATCATCATCATTATCAGCCATTTTAATGTTCCCACTACTGGAACACAGGCCATCTCTCCAGCAAAGTTCTTAACAATATAAATTAAGTCCAAACACGAGGTAGCTACTGTAAACCGTTGAGGAGTTCCCTAGACTGTCCTTCGTCTTCATCATCAGATCCCTGATGACAGTCACAATCCATCTAGATGTAAAGTTCTTATCAAAACGAATTAATTAAGCTCAAACACAAGGAAGCTGCTATGAATCGTTGAGGAGTTCTCTCGACTGTCTCTCGGTTCCATCCGGAATTCCCTCGTTGGTCAATGGTCTCCATCATCAGGTAAACTGCAAACCTTCAGTTGTTATAATACATACAGGTACAAAGTTTTCATCAATATAAATGAATTAAGTTCAAATACGAAGTAGTTACTGTAAACCGTTCAGGAGTTCCTTGAGCTGTCCTTCGTTCTCATCATCAGACCCTTAATGACAGTTACAACCAAGCCTGCTGCAAAGTGCTCGTCAATACGCATCATTCAAGCCCAAACACAAGGCAACTACTTCAAATAGTCAAGGAGATCCCTCGACTGTCTTCCAGCTCCAACATCTGGTCGACTTCGACCTTCGTCAAGTTGTAGTGTTGATAAAGGCCTACCTAAACATCATACAAAAACACTACTCGCCCCTACAATTTTCGAAAGTTCCCCTCGGTTTCTCCAGGATTCCATCATCAGATCCTGACCTCATGACAATGGGACCAAATGGCAAGTATACCCTATCGAATAAAAAAAGAATTTTGCAAATCGGTCCAGGCGTCTTCGAGTAATCGGTGTACATACATAAAAAAAAAAAAAAAAAAAAAAATACACGTCGAATTGAGAACCTCCTCCTTTTTTGAAGTCGGTTAAAAAATAACACTAGTTTATACTCCCCGACAAAACACTTCCCCGCTCCACTAGCCAGTCGTCCGGTTAGTTAGCTATTTGATCTAACCTTTTTTTATGATCATAGGACGATAACCTGATGGTGGCAACACCAGAAGGAGTTTCAAGTCCTGGCCTTTGAGGATTAGGTTTTCGGAGATTTAGGAATTGGGGAGGAGAAGATTGGGCCCTCGGTAACCACACTTATATGGCGAAATACCACGCTGTAGTTGTTTCGCATCGGGTTTCTGTGAGGCCGTGATATCACTCCGGTGGAGCCGACCCATTCGTGCGGAAGCAAGGCTTTCCCACACATAAAAGTAATCTAAAAAATCTTCAAGATCTCAATACGCTCTACAGATCTCTGCCTACCCCGAAGGGTAAAATAGGCATTAAAATATCGTGTAATTTTAGTGCTGAGTATTGGCCTTGACTTCAGTTCCTTGTATCAAATTCATAGATTAATTAACAAAGGTCAAAAGGAGACCTTGCAAGCTCGCAATAAAAAAAATTACTTTGAATATATTAACTATAAAATTAACATTTTTCAGAGCTACACATATAAGTATTTATGTATATTATTATATTGTTCTATTCAATTTGAAGCAGAATATGTCTTTTTTGTTGTTATACCCGTTATATATATGTAGGATATCCTTATGTATGCATGAAATTATCATACTATTTTTATATTTTAAAAAACATTTCCCCACACTGGGATTCTGTGATTCATTTCTCTGTCTTAATTGCGTTTACAAACATGCAATAAGCATTACATTTACATGGTACATCTTGGACTATGTGGATTATAATTATAAAAAAGGATATGTGGATTATATAAACAATTGCTTCGTGTAGAATCAAAATGATCGATCTTAATTCAGAAATTTAGGTTAAAGAAATATTTTTTTTGTTTTGAAAAAACGTTGCCCCACATTAGGATATTCTCCTATGTCGTTGGTGCGGTTACAAACATACAATTTGAGACACACAAAGAGTTGCTCCGTGCGGGAATCGAAACCGCGATACTTTGCACGGTAGCCAGTCGCCCAGCCACCGCACCAACCGTGCAGTCGTCATGTTAAAATTATAAAGATAAAAAGTCGTAAAACACGAATTTGTGATATCCATAAGCAGGAACAGAATAATCATTATCTATAATTTAACACGAACCGTAACATCTCGACCGGTTATCTGAGTACCTGACCCTGCAGTTGGTACCATTACCTTGCTCAAACTTCTGGCCGCCATGACCATGACCATAGAATCAAATCGTTCTTGGATTTTCCATTTCCATAATAAACAGCATCATCAATAACAAATCAAGTTAATCGACATTTTTATGCATACATTCATTGCAATCAACATTTTTATTGCTATTTTAATAAAAATCTAGAAAATCTTATGGATTTTCGTGCTTATCATCATCATCATCATCAGCCTATAAGTGCCCACTGCTGAGCAAAGGCCTCTACTCATACGGAGAAGGTTAGAGCATTAATCACCATCACCAGCAAAGTATGGTCTACAGGGGCGTGAGCATGATAACTCCCTCTTCTTCTTCGCACCACCGTGGCCCCGGCTAAGGCCGGACGCGAGAGGTCGCCGCTGAATAGTTTCAGCTATGGCTTCGTATATGGGTAGGTAAGGTATGTGTTGTGTGTTTGTTATTTGTGGGGTATGAAAAATATGATTCACTGGTAATATTTTCTAAGGGATTGGAGAGTTAGCCCTAACTCTCCCCTGTATGTAGTTTTATATGAAAATGGTTTGATTTAACTAGACCTTGTACTAAATTCACTCAGAGCGCCATCTGATGAGTAAAATATGAAGCTTTTTTAAATAGTTACATAATTTATTATTATCTAAGATTGTATTCTATTAAAGATAGAATTTGAAGATGAGACAGTTCTAGGTCATGTACCTAGATGGCGTTAGAGGCGTTAATTATTATGTTAGTCTCGTCATTATCTAGCGTCATCATATAAGACCCTCAAATCACTTCTCTCATCCTGGGTGGGGAGAAAGCGAGTATCATACTTTTCTGACTAAATGTGGTAAATTCCCATTTCTTCCTGTGCTTCAGGCCGGGGCCGAGATTAATTATTGCGACCAACCACGACTGAACATCAGTCTTATGGAGTCCCATCTGTGATGGTCTGTTGGCTCTTTCAGCCGCGTGGCGAACGCTACGCGCCTTCTGCCGAGCAGTAGTACGAGTCTGGTTCTCGTCGGGTGGCGAGCTACGATACTAACAATGGCTTGCAGCGAAAGTTACATCTTAAACTAAAACTTACGTAGTTTTAAATTATTGTTTACCATCAGGTAATCTGTCGGCTACTTTGCCTTCCTATCACATGAAAAAATTATTCATTAATTTGAATTTAAACAGGTTATACAAATTAAAATTCGTCATCAATGGTTAATTATATATACATATATCGTGCTTAGATAGGTCACAAATTAAAATTAGGTATTTAGCCTAAACATAACTTAAATAACACACACTTAAGGCCCACTTAATCAAGGCCACACTTGAGGACAATCGTGACGAAAGGAGGATAGTCGTGGAAGACGGGCAAATGGTCCTCCTCAAGAAGCCAGGGACTGTATTGCGGATTCTCCGTCCGCATACGTGCCTATCGTACTGGTTGACGAGGTTGAAAAATTCTATAATTTCAGAAAATTTTGAGGCGAAGCGAAGTATTTTCTTGGATAATATACTATGTCCTTGTAGCATTATTTGTTTATTAAATAAGCCAAAAGCTTAAAGGGTATGCAAAGCAAAAAAACATACTACAACGACTACACCAGCCGTACTCGACCCTAAAACTAGATAACTTTATCTATAGTATGGATTTCCGCAAAGTTACGCCTGCCTTTTTTTCTGTATATCAATTTAAATAATTTAATCTCATTAAGGACAAGTTTAGCAAACATTAGAATTACAACAGTTTTTGTACCGCGAATCCGTTCGCGTTATTACGTAGGACGGCGATATGTAGTGTGATGGTTATTAGAGAAATAAACTTCTGATCACTTCTGACACAAAACAATATATTGTAATTGATTCTGTATTTTTTGTGATTTTTTGGCCAATGGTAATAAAAACAATGCTATTAAAATACGCAAGTTTGCCCCTGACAAACAAACAAAACCAGAATCAGAATCAAAAAATATATTTCTAAACATTGGTGTTTGAGGTGTTACAGGTAGGTACATCAAAGTCAAATACAATATTTTAATAAAATATTAATGTCCTGGGTCCTGTTTGGGATAAATAAAAGTAAACAATTCAGTATCTATATAGTTATTTTAAAATCACAAACAGACGTTTACATGTTCATATTGTATATGTATGAGTATGTCGCAATAAGATGAAAATATCAAAGGTTTCACGAAATTCCTGTGAGATATCACGGAAGCTCTAAAATATCACTTAATTCCAAGAGATATCCGAAAATCCCGGTAGATGTCAAATAGCCATGTTTATGAAATCTGCTTAGTAAAGTGATACGTCATAAGTCTAAACTAAACCTAAAGAACATACCTACTGAAAAGTGTCCATTCAATTGTTTAATATTAATTTATTGCAAACTAGCTATTGCCCGCTTGTTCACGTGGAATAGTGACTTCCTGCAGATTTTTGGTTTAAAAATATGTCTTTCTCGAGTTCCAAACGATGTCTGTATCAAACACAATAGGTTCAGTAGTTTAGGCGTGAAGAAAAGACAAACAGACAGAGTTACTTTTGAATTTAAAACATATGCAGCCTCTGTTATATTAATAAACGACGTACGAAACAACTACCAGTCGAATAAAGCGCATTGAGTTTAAGTTAGTAAAGTGTGAATTACTTAGGACACTTTTGGTTAACTTAGATCTACGATACTTGGCGTCAAAAATTACCTGAGTCGTCGTGGGTTTCGTCGCACCCGTGGGATAAAATGTGGTTTCTATTATTTGTCTTATACCGGCAGACAATTATCTAGTTTTTTGCGAAATCACTGATTTCGCTAATTCTCTGCGACATATAAATTTTATATACATAAAGATACCTACTCACATAATATATTAACTTATAAACAAGAATAATGGATGTTATACATTATTTTATCCTTAGTTCTCAATTTGACTTTACCTTGTAATGTTGTGCCGTAAAAATAAGATGTTATAATGAATAAAAGACATAAGAAAATGTTTATATTATTTGTATTAAGTGTTTTGTTGTTTCAAAACTCTTCTGCCGAAGTTTACTCTCTCAATGGTATGTTTATGCTTTTTAATTAACAAATATTACACACTTGGTTTGCATTTTTTATTACGAAAACCACCCTGTTTGTGTCATTGCTGCTAGTTCGTCGCCCAGAAGATGTTGACTAAACTACCCATGACTCTGACGTCCACCTAGTAGGAGACTTTCCATAGGCCTAGGAACCATCACACAAAAGGAGAAAAATATGTATATTCAATATTCATAAGTCATATACTTACACATCAAAACAGAAATTCAAAGAAATAGCTTAAAATTAACAAGGTATTTTTCTACTGAAGAAAATAATAAAGAAGTTAACTCAAGTGTGTGTTGTTATAGCTTATGGTGTCTGTGAAGGGCAAGGTTTAAGGTTATCGAGTTGTAGCGACGCCAGTAAAATATCAATGAAAAAAAATTACACAAATCCATCCATCAAAGTGAAGTTCGGACGCAGATTAACTTATGAAGAAAACACCTCAACGTTTGTCTTGTTGAACTTGCCTACCAGGTGATACCTGGTACCTACCTACCTCGCCTCGTCGGAGGATCCTCCCTTTTGCCAGCTTAGTGAGCTTATTACTAGCTACTCTTAAAAAATAAAAATATCCATCATCATCAACAACATATCATCATCGCTATTGTTCCTTATTTTTCAGAATCAGAGTATGCGTTGATGCCTCCTGTGATCCAGTTGGATAGTTACGAGAATTGCACACAAGATGCTAAGTGGCTGTACTGCAAGGCGGAATTTGTTCTCGTATCAGACGAGTACAATCCACGTTTGGCTATGATAGAGGTAAAATTGGTGCAGTCATAAACACGTAGGGGAGATACTAGAAAAAAAAACTATTTTTTTAACTGAACTACAGACAGATAGACATAAAGAAACAAAGGGACTAGTAGAAACTATATACTGTTAAATAGAGGCAATTTAATAATTCAAGTAATATTTTTTCATCTACAGAAATATTCAGCGCACAGACCGACACATTACAACCACACGCTACTAAGACGTGGGATTTGTGTCACTCAAACATGTAAAAGATTCCACGAAACTGGGAGGGACCTAAGATCGACCCTTGGGGCATGCATCAATGAATCCCTGTATTACAATTATCAATTAAATACTGTAATGTTGGATGGATATGACTGTTCTAAAAACGATATGAAAATACAATTTGATAGTGTAGATTTTTACGTCGGCTTATTTTGCATATCAATATTGATTGTAAATATAGTAGCCAACTTTGCGGAGGACAAAGATAATGATGGTATGTTACATTTTAATTAATATCGTGTTTCATCCTCAAGCGTTTGTATTTTGCCCCATCTATAAAATGAATTATCTGGAATATAAAAAAAATAGATTAAAGATGCAAAAACAAAGGTAGTGAAAAGAATTTAAAACGTAATCAATTCACTTACTTCCTTAATTCTGCTTCTTAACTTTTCATACAATTCTGTACCATTGTTGTTTTATTTTATCGTCCACCAGTTTGTTTCGAAGCATTTGAACCAATACTTCTTATTCTAGATTCAACGTTCCTTAGCTGCTTTTCAATATCTCGAAATTGGAAGAAATTAACAAATGTGACAGGAGAACCTCGTTTTCCAATTCTACAAGGAATCCATGGCATCAGGTAAAGTTATTGTTTTAAATGCATTGGACTATTTCTCAACGACTTTTATATAGAGCACGGTGACGTACCAACAATATGAGTGTGGAATGTGGAATTACTCAGACTGCTTGGTCAAATGGTTTTATGGTTGAGTTGCATTCTTTATGAAAACATATAAACGTAATTTGTGAGTCTGGTCTATTTTGAAGTGTGGTGTTTGTGAACACATTAAGGGAATTTTATTGTGATGCAAATTATTTTATTTACAGAACCATGACCATGTATCTCGTCATCGCAGGTCATACAGGTGTGGCCACTATGAGCTTACCATCCAATACTGATTACGTGGAAGGAGTATGTATAACAAATCGAAATTATAGCTACCGTTGACATTAGATTAACTTTTGTTCTACGCTCTTTATCACTATGAGTGTCGTACTTAGATTTATTTAATAAATACCTAATGCAGTCCTTAGCATTGTTTTTCGAAATAAAGTCGTTACAAATGAATACTTACAAATGAGTACACAGTTACTTAAAAGGAGTGGTATAAAACTTTTGTACGTAATAGGCTTCATACTTGTTGCAAATACCTATAATAATGGAGACATATCCCGATTTGAAACACAATTACTTAATTCTTTGTATTTTATACAAAAGTTAGTTAACGGTGGATTTACCTGGTTTTCAAGTTTTAAAGCTGACATTGAATGTTACAGTTGTACTTTTTTGGACCAATGCCAATAATATTGAACGGGCCGCTGATAATCCAGACGTTTTTGGTGATTTCTTCTTTCCTCCTTATATTTATCTGGCTGAAATACTCTGAGAAAAACAAACCTTCATGGAAGATGATCCCGATACAATTCCTCATGAGGTGGACCAGGTAAGTAATGAAAAGTTTTCTATTTTTGGACATACAAGGAGACGAATCAACAGTAAAATATCAACCTTTTGGTTTTTTTGAGATATGGAGAATGGGGCTTTGGTGAAAGGGGAAGGTATAAGAAAATATATGCTGGCTGTACCTTAACGTACAGCGACTTGAGAGAGGTAGCCATATATTAATATGTTCAGAACACAAAGAAGAATCTTATAACTAGAAATAAAATATTCAGACCACTTGAGGACCTTCTTTCCTGAATTTAAAGTTAGTTAAAAAACCTAATTTAAATATTAAACCTAATTTTAAAGGCTGTTTGCCTAATGAATAATGAACATTTTTTTTTTATTAATTTTATGTGAACGTGTACATAATTATGCCTATAATGTTATATTCTTATTCAGATTAACTCCATCGTACGCCATTGTGTTGGCCTTGACAGCTTCTAAGTTTGGGAGAATATCATCTCAGCCGAATTGGAAGGTAATATTTAAATATTTATCTTTATTTAGACAATAACATACAATCATATCATTTTAATCCCTAATGTTATTATTTTAAGAGTACGTTTTTATTGCTGTGAATAATTTACCAATTCCTTCTCCCGCCAAGGATGGGGCGAAGGGGAATGTCAGTCTGTTTTTTACTAAAAATCTACTCGTTTCTTGTCCTAGTCTGAGCCGAGCCCCAAGACATCATTAGTCAGTTACCTTACCCTTGACCGGGCCCAAATTCTAGACCACCGATTCCAACTGACAACCATTTTTTCGCATGACAAAGCTAATGAACCCAAACTAGACCCTAGTTATGTAATATAAAAATCATAAATTACTACATTTTTAACCATAACTTGTTTGAACATCATCATCAGTTATCATCATCATCATCAACACGTTTGCTTGATATATGTTTTCGATTATATGTTTTTATACTTGTGCTTGTAGATTGTAGGCAACGAGATAGCTGATTGTCGACGCGACTGGTGGAAGCACCTCCTCTACATCAACAACTATTTCGACAACTCCGAGTGTATGATACATACTTGGTACGTATATTTATTTACTCAAATATTGTTTTCCAAACTAATATCTCTGTCTGTCTGTCTTTTCTTCACGCCTAAATAAGTGAACCGATCTCTGTGAAATTTGGAACAGACATAGTTTGGAACTTGAGAAAGGACATATAGGATAGTTTTTATACTAAAAATCTTCAGGAAGCCACTATTCCGCGCGAATGAATTCGCGGGTAAAAACGAACAAATCAACGCCACGTAAATAAAAACTCAAATGTCGAGCTCAGTAGATATAAAGCGCTCATCATGATCGTAATGTTTTGGTTGACATTTAAACTTGTCTTCTATTTCAAATAAATTATTGACTTCGACTTAGATGTCTTCGCTAACATCTTTAGCAGCAACACTCATACAAGTAACTGTTAGTTGAAGAGATCGGTTATCAGATATCATCCTCTCTTATAGCACAACTTTTTTACACCGTAACATTAGATCTTAAGAGTAAGAGGTCTGCATTTTTGGCAATAAGGGCATTCTCAAGAGCTATGCTGTTCATTCTTTGTCAAATAAATGCAGTCTATTAGTCGGCCCTTAGGCCACACTAAGGTTGTATGACCTGCTGCAATCCCTACCCACGCATGTGCCGCAAGAAATAAAACGCCGCTGCCAAGTTATAAATTGTTTTCTCACCAGGTACTTGGCAGCTGACACCCAACTCTATTGCATTGGCAGTATCGCCTTCCTGATCTGCAGGAATATTCGCATGAAGAAACTTGTACTGGGCCTTCTGCTTGCCGTCGGAGTAGTCACCCCCATGCTGCACACGTACTTACAGAATCTGGACGGAGTTCAATTATTAATAATTAATCTATAGTCAGTAGGAAATAATAAAGCTATGGGTTGGTTTTTCAATAAAGCTCTGGGAGACAGTGACATTGATGTAATAAAATTATTTATTTATTTATTTATACAAAAACATGTAAAGGTGGACTTAATGCCTTAGGCATTGTCTAACAGTCGACCTTTGGGTGATTGAGAGATGAGAGTGGCAGGTGACATAAGAATAAATAGCAAAATTTTATCAATTTACATTACTTAGATACCATATATAAATATAATAACGAAAAAAAAAAACAATATCATTATATAAATAAATATATATAAATCAGGTATATTATATAATACACGAATAATAAATATATATAAATATATATATATGTATGTATATAAAAATAAAAGTTATGAAAGATTTGAAATCGCCAATTTTTTCAGAAGATGCTCACGCAATCTTGATTTAAAAGACAAACGACTGGTTGCCATCCTAATCTCCGTGGGTAGTGCATTCCATAGCATAACAGACTGAGTAAAGAAAGAAGAGAACTTATGTATGAAACCAAAACTTTAATGTCCAATGTCTCCGACGACAGTGACGTCATGAAACTCTCAAAACGTATTGCTTTTTTTATTTGATAGCTCGGCAAATGAGCAGAGGAGTAATTTGGAAAAAATTTGGGGATAAGGAATTTGGAGATTTAGGGATTGGGGGAGGGGAAATATTGCGCCTCCGGTAACTTACACAGCAAGACATAAGGCTGTGGTTATTACACGCCGGTTTTCTGTGAGGCCGTGGTATCACTCCGGTCATAAATTTAAGAATAATGTTCTATGACTATAGGCGAGCGTCCCTTTTGCGTTTGAGTGTGCGAGCGGCGCTGTATAAGTGTTTTAATGAGAAATACGCAGTATTTTTTCTTTGCGAAATTCCTTAAGGAATAATAGTATTAAAAGGACCGACATTGAATCGCCTATCATGGCAAAAAGTGTAAAAGTCTTTATACTTTAAACCTTAGACTATTGACATTATACTTTAGACTTTTTATTATCTTCCCCAGATTTGTATAGAAGCATCATCGAGTGGCGTTTCTGGCGGATCCCGAGTCAGTTGTCATATAGTGCATACCTCCTGCATTTTTTCTTCGTGAGAAAATACGCGGTGACTTTGACGTCTACCCGCGTTGTATCGGCTTGGACTGTTGTAAGTAAACATTCACTTGATTCGATGGTTTCCTCTCTACTTTTGAACGTCAAACAAAGATAAAAACTGTTGATCGAGTAAGAGTGTAGCACGTCGATTCTATAAAATTTGTTTGATTTTGAATCTAAGCACGTCGATTCTATAAAATTTGTTTGATTTTGAATCTTGTTCGAGTGCGAAGTGAGTGTCGAAGTGACGGGGTATTTAAATTTTGGAATGCCACTTTTAACGTCATCTCATACCTTTATCTTTCAAAATGTTGCTGTCAATTTAGTTCAACTCGCAAGTGTAGCGCTAGTGTAGCGCTAGTGTACTACTACTCACAGCGGATTCAGATTCGAAGTTTAGAACGAAGTCTTATAGAATCACACCCTACTTTTAGTGAAGCTATTTGATCGTTCCAAACTGTATTATTTTAGGAAAGAAACTATCGTGAGCGGTGAGGCATATTAAATTTGAAAATAACGAATTACGTGAATTAACTTAAATGTGACTCGTTGCATTGTATTTTTGCTTTATTTGTGTTACTGGTGTTGGAAAATGTATAAAAAAAACTAGGAAATAGGAAAATCAGACCGAGAGAAAAAATTACCCGTTGTGGCCCAAAAATTTTATAGAAGTCTCTTCTTGTTAAACAAACCAAGCTCTTCTGAGGAGACTCCAGTCTTTCAGGAGTTTTCAGAATGATAAATGATTTTTAGAATATTTGGTTAAGTTGCTTGAAATAAACTAATAACCTTCCAGATAGATTATCAAAAACTTGATTTAACATTGCGAAGGCCCTTATATTTTTGAAACCTAATTTCGATATTGTTTCTGCTCCCAGATGTACGACGTGCACATTGTCATAGTACACACTATGTTAGCTGCCACAGTCTTCTGGCTGCTAGTGGATGCCCCGCTGGCAAACCTCAGACAATACTTCTTTAAAACGAATATATTCGAAGAAAAGAAGAAAGTGAAATAAATTATTGACAAGCTATTGTAAGTAGCCATAATGTTGATTCTAAAGGACTTGCAACACGTTGACGAATTAAGCATAAATGTAAAAAGTTGTAGAAAAAAAAGGAGGGTATCGTACTTTTAAAGTACTATATTCTTCTATGTTCTTGATAGTAGGTTTTAAATACTTTACTTTTTATTTAAGTAGGTCGCTTATTGTGAAAATGTTAATTGATGAAACCATTGTAGATAATTGTAAATATTTAGGTGGATATGTATGATATGAAGAACAACACAGTGTTTTAGATTAAATTGCCTTTGACCGCCCATTGTAAACTCAGTTTCAAATATTTTTCTGGGTTGTCCTACTATAATTATGTCATATAGATAAATAAATATACAGAAGAAGTTGTAATTGATAGTAACTAGAATAATAGTATTAATAAACTCAATGAAATCAATAGCAATAATAACGTAAATAGAAAAGTTGTCCATAAAGACGAATGCAAAATTCCAAAAAATAAAATACTTATTTAGATAACCTTTTTAATGTATTATAAACATTTTTAATATAAAAACATTTGTGTTTAGTAACTATAGTTAATTAGAACGTTTTATAAAGTAATAAAAATAAGTGCATTAAACTAATAAAAAAATCTTGGAGACTAGATCATAGTCATCTACAAAACAAAAGCCAAAAAGTTAATGACGCATGTAGAAGTCCTCATAAACTAAAAAACTCTTATATTTTGATTGGCAAATGTATCATTCAATCTTTTGAATAAAGTAATTTAATAAGACCCTGTATTGATGAATAACTTCATTTATCGCCCGTCGTAAGGTATATAAATTTACCTACTTAACATATTTTATGTAAAAAAAATCACAATCCTATCATGTTACCTTTCCATATAACAACAATTAGCAAGTCTTTATTTCAATAATCTCCATAAATCTCATTAGAACACATCTTCACTACAATAATTTTAATGTTACCATCCTAGAGGCATTCCGTATCAAAAGCCTAACTAAAAACATAAAAATATAATCCTTAACAATAATATTTACAAGGCAGTACATTCAAGTCTTCTTCTAAGACGGTGGTGGGCAAACGCAGAAAGGATTTATTTTGGCTCATCAACCGTTCGCCGATATGAAAAGAGTGTGTTTGGTCAATAATGATAATATTCTAACGCTCCAAGAATAGAGGCACTGCATATCAACTTACGGTACTGATTAGACCAGCGAAATAATTTTATACGTTGAGATCTGGTGATTTTTTTTTCACGATCTTCCTGAAAATATTTGCCCACCATTAAAAATCTTTCCTTCCTACACTAGGCATCATTTCTCCTCCTGATTTGTGAGACTAAGTCAAATGACTTTCCGTCAGCGTCTACGGGAATTGAAGGCCGTCTCTCAGGACCATCACTGTCCGTCATAGCTTTCCATAGCTGGATGAGCGGTAACTCCACGAGAAGACACAGGGGTACCGACGCGATGTAGCTCAGCACTGATGATGTGATTAGAAGCGATAGCTGGAAGAAACCACAAATTGAATTTACGTAAAAGTGTTTTTTTTTGTATTTTTTCGGGTACCTAGATCGAATAGTAGGTAGTGAATGTCACACATGCTCCATCGTTATAGTAGAGTCGTTTAGACACAGTTACAATTATTAACTCAATAATGTAATTTAAAAAAGATATAGTAGAAAAGATGTCAATCAGATCACCAATCATTTATCCGACATAATCTATTCTGCATTACATATTATACATGAATACACGCTCATTCTTGCTCCCTTGCTAAGGTCGTATTATGGTATGCTTCAAAACATGCGTTAACACTCAACACATAATTTTATCTATTTGAGAAGATGCTTTATTGCAACAAATAATCAAAGAACCTTACCATAGAGAGCAAAGTCGCGTGCCCGAGCTGTGTATTGCTGGCTAGGGTGATCCTCAGCACTATGAAATGGATAAGGAATACGCAGTACGACAGCCTGCCCAGAATGTGGAAGCCGCGCCACTCCAACCCGTCACGAATCATGGCTGTGAATGATAAACACATATTAGGTCTGTGTGAGACATATTAGTCAAAATATTTTGTGTTTAAATGTGTTCGAAAAGAAAATTATGGAAAACCGTAAAAAAATCTTTTCATCAGGTATGCAAACTTAATGAACATCAGGTAAGCAAAAATTGCTATGCATATGATGGCTACAGCATAAACATGCGTCTCCAGCTTCCTTTTAGGTAGACCGACGACCTCGTCAGAGTGGCAGGCAGCTATAGGATGTGAGTGGCGAATTTACTTTCGGCATGGAAAACTAAGGGGGAGTTTTGTCCTTTGTCCAGCAATGGACGTCTTCCGACTGATGATGAAATATGAAAAGCAGAATCTGACCGTCCTTTCAAAACACAAATATTTGTGATACTTACACCAACACCTGGAGAAACAACCCAGCATAAAGATGCAGAAGAACGTGGCGACCAGGGGCCGGTCGATGGCGGCGTATAGAGCGGACGCCCATTGAGGCAGCGGAGAGTCTGACAGGAATATGGTACCGGCGAGCAGCACTGAACTGCCCAAGAACAATGCTGAGTGGAACAGCATGTTGAACCACTAGAATGTGAGGAAAATAAACTTTAAAATTCATAGAAAAGAAGGTAACACAATAAAAAAAATTAATCAACTGATTACTGGGATATAAATTGTTTTTAACTAAATGCAAAATCCTCTAAGCTTTTTAATACGACAGAATCAAACATCAGTATTTCTTGTTGCGTTTTTCCTTCAATAGAAATAAGTCAAACATAGTCCATCATTACCATCACCGTGGTCATCTCACCTTGCTGTCTTTAAGCTTGATCTCTCCCTTGATGTTGTTGTGGTAGAGGATGAAGGCGGTGGCGATGCCTCCGATGTACCCTGGCAGATTCATCCAGAAAGGCAGATACAGCAGCGTCAGAATCTTGGAGCCGGCGAACATGTTGCGGAGGACCCTGAAATTTCCATATATATCTTAGAAATTTTTAAATTAATTTCTTTTCATATCTTAGAGTATGTAACATCTTGTTCCTCAAAATAGTCAAAATGCTAAACACGATAAGTCCTTTGAATTGGGGTCAAATTTCCAAAATCTTTTCTGAAGCTATCCTATATTTTTATTTATCGTCTCTTTCTAAACAGACCAAGGAAACGGCACTCACTCTGGCGTCTGTGCAGTAACGATAGGTGTGAGCTGGTAGAAGTAGACTACGAGACCGGCTGCCACCGAGGACCCAATCATGATCAGCATCAGCAGCGGGATGACAGCTTTCTTGAATCTCATCAGCACTAACAGAAGGAATACTCCGATGATGTGGAGCTGCATGTCTGCTGCCAAGTACCTGGAGATATGACAACACCATGTAATATTGATGTGGTGGATTATTTACATAATAATTGATAGAATGAGCTTTTTTATGGGATAGTCCGGCAAACAAGCAATGGGCCACTGGGACACCGACAGCACTAGAGGAAACACAAGTTCGTTGAGAATAGGGGGGGAATTACGAATAATTGGATATACGACTTAGGAATTACATACAGAATATAATTATAACAGAATAATTAGACATTATGCTGTGTGTAATAATAACATAATAGCAGGTAGTTGAGCAAACCATTTTACATCAAACTAACTACTCTTATAATAGAAATTAAGAACTAGCAGAAACAAGGTCTACTACCAGTGGTTAGGGCTTCAAAGACAGGAACCTCCTCACAATACATTCCGTTTCAAGAAGGACTGCCTTCTGTACGAGGCCCTTGATCTATCCGCTTTACGCCAGCAAAACCTTTATTATTTTTATTCTATACAATGAAATAGATAGAACACTCACCAAGTATGTCCCATGCAGAATTTGCCAGTAGGCAGATGGTTGTGCACATACAACACGTGGTACCACCATCTCTCAGAGCAGTCGTGTGCTTCTCTCTCCACCAGCCAGGACCACTGCGGTCCAGCACCTAGCAGCGGGAACCACGCCACAGTGAACCAAAGCGCAAATACTGCTAGAGGTGTCAACCTGGATATCAAGAACAGAGGTTAATGAACTATGGTATAAAGTTGGTGGTAGGGAAAATAGACGATTTTCGTGTTGAAGGAAGGAAAAGATTATAGGTTCTGTAAAAAAGTCACCATGGCAAGAAGTGGTGCCTTCTTGCAATGGTGACTATTTTTACAACACAGAACGCAAACTGTCAGACGTATGTCCTGATGGTAAGCGATCAGCGCCGCCCAGGGTACAGAAGAGTTACAAGGTCGTTGCTGGTTGGATGGCAAATGAGCATACGAATAACTTGATGGTAAGCAATCAGCGCCGCTAATACACACCCGCAATACTGGAGGAGTTACGAGTGCGTAACCGGCCTTTTGGGGATAAGGGTTCCAGAGGTTTAGGGATCGGGGGAGGGAAAGAAGGATTAGGCTTCCAGTAACTGCCTATACTCACACGGTGAAACACAATGCAAATATCATAAATATAAATTTCACCCTCTTAAGGTTCTTAATAGTTCGGAAATACAGACGGTACCATCACATCTTAAAATATCACAACTTTACCTAATCCATCTATTCACGATGGACATCACGCATTTGAAGAATGTGATAGGCTTGGTGGGTGAGGAGACGAGCGTGGCGTACGCAGTCAGGAATCCAGACATCGCGAAGAATGCTTGCAGCCACAACGGAGAGTTCAGAACTGCTTGCCAAGTGAAGTGGTCGTACATCTAGAATACGGGGAAAATTAATAAGTTTTATATATTGTTTTGTGATATTTAATCGTTCGTAAACCATTCGAGAAACGCTCAACTAGTTTCAAGACACACCGGGACACTAATTCGACTATAAACGTATCATTCAATATACTTCACGATATTTTGTTTGGACAAAAAAGAAAAAATATTGTTTGTAGGATATGTATTAGGTAAAGGATATATTATTATCTTGAGAAGTGGTCTGAAGTTTTTATGTCCGTAGGCAGAAAGAAATATATTTATTCAGAGTAATACAAGAACTCACCCTTTCAATGAACTGTGGGTTGTCTATGTACGAGTAGATGTAGATCAACATCACGTGGGAGAAGATCACGCATTGCATTCCGAGAAATCTAGAAATATTCGAATATGAGACAATAAAATTAAATGTGGATAACTAATAGGTAACTGTTTTGAATTTCATTAAGTACATGTATAAAAATCAACAAAACAAAACAATCCATTTAAAACCTAAAGTAAACTTAAAAATTTAGGACTTTAGAGGAGGGAAAATCATCCGATTTTATCCTCCCTCTGTTGGTACTCTTACTAACTAAAACCACTGAAATCACCACTAAAAACACATTATAGCGCTTGCAACAATGTGTTTTTCGACAAAATACTTCAGCTTAAAGTCTCTCAATAAGTCAACTTAAAGAACTTCAGCAAAATATATTTATAGCTTCTTTAAAATTGTAGATGTAATCGTTAAACGAACAATGGTGTATTACTTCTTGAGCTTGTCTCGTCTTGTAAACTGGAAAGTACCTAATGGGGGAAATCCGACTGGTGCTGTGCATCGCCAATATAATAATACCAAATTAAAAAGTATATAATGTTACCTGATTCCTTCGATACACGCGACATCCTTCATACGGTCGTCTGTCCTCGGCTTGCAGCGGTCGTAGGTCAGAATATCAAAGTTACGCTTCAATGAGAATGCTAGCAAGTACCTGTTACCTACAACCAATCAAGGGAAGAGACTGATTAGGATTTTTTTATAATTTTTAATGGAATGTATTACATGTCTGTGAAGATGGTGTCAATTCTGGGTTCTTCGGAAGAAAATGAAGGGAAGACAGAGATGGAAAATAAAATTAGATAGTAATTCAAATTCACAGTCGATAAAAGAGAAGAAAAGCATAAGTAAAGGTATGATACAGAATACAAGTTCACACTAGTAAGACCCTCCCCCCCCCCCACACACACACACACACACACACACTGACCGTAATTTTGTGTAAACTATAACTTGAGTGCAATGAAGATATAGGAGAGTGCACTCCCTGTGGTGACGTGACAATTCTGTGACTAATATTTCTAGAGAGATTGTCATCCGACCGAACATTACTATGGGAGTCTGCTTACTACATTTTGAAATCCATTACACCAATGCGTCATTTGTCACTCACGAACAGTTTCAATGAGCGCATCGTAAGTGATAATATGGTGACAGGAACAAAAGTCACGGTCACAGGAAGTCGCAATCAGTGTCATTTTTGTGGGATTAGGAAATGCTTTATTAGATGCCAACAAATATAAATATTAACCATCTGATACAATGACTGTGATCTCTTTTTCTTTAATGACACAGGACATTTCTCAATGTGTATAGCAAGATAGACTTATATAGTCTGGTTTATAAAGAATTATTATTACTTAGAAATCTAAGCTTATGAGACATTCAAAATCTATAATGTATGTCTCAATATAAACTTTATATTTTATAGTAAGACCTTCCCTAAATGAAGTTTATATAAAGGTATTTCATATTTAATCATCTTTTAGAACAAAAGACACCAATTTAAAGATACAACAGATATTTTACACTCAGCCTTGGCGCAGCGGTCTCCAAGCACATGTACTCCTGTAGCGAGGCAAGCCAGGGCCACCAACATGGTGCAGATGACGGCCAGTGACCGGCCAGGACCAGAACTCTCTGGCGGGGAGTCCGCTGACATACACCAGTCCACTGAGAGCACTTCCGCCTGGAGAGATGAAGAAAATTAATTTATAGCTTCTACTGGCTATGCAGTTGGAAAGATGGCTGGGCAACAGTCGCAAGATGTCGTGGTATGAATTCACGCACGGAACAACTCTATGTGACATTAACGAAATAGTAAATTATAAGCAGGTCTATTTGTCTAGTTATGAAAACGTGAAAGCCTCAGTTTACGAGTACCTACAACAAACTAAAACTGTCGCTGAATAGCCGTGTTAAGTTTGGACTATAAACCATACGTATAATAGTTTAATAACAGGAACATTTTTATGTGATACCGATTAGACTAAAAACACTAACCAATTAACGCCAACCAAAGACATATTAAACACCAGAGAAGTAAAGAATACGTTTTCCATCTTAATAAAACCTAGGCTAAGGCTAATACTAGGTTTTTCCTGCGTCTTGGGTGCGATTACAAACACACAATTTTAAATACAAATCACACCCAGATTACAAACAAAATTTCTCTATCACGCGTGGAGATGTTTCGTGCGGGAATCGAATCCTTAGTTTGCCTAACCACCACACCAACCGTGCACTACTAGATTGCACGTGTCTCACAAAAAATATATAATCTTCCCATAATTTTCCACTTCTATTTCTCCACCATCCAAAGGTGGACTGGTAGAGAACGCCTAAAGCGTTAAATCCGCGATTGTAATTTGTGCAAAAAGTATAAATAAATAATGTGATATTATCTATACTAATATTATAAAGAGGTGAAATTTGTAAGTTTGTATGTAGGGGTAATCTTTAGAACCACTAGTCGGATTGCCAAAATTCTTTCACTGTTAGATAGCTACAATGTTCCTGAGTGCTATAGGCAATAAAACGTCACGCTAAGATCAAATGGAGCCGAGCAGCGGGTGCACACGAGAGTAGCTAGTTTTACATAAAAAGTATCATCAAGTTACCTCCAGCCCATACTGCGCCACGCTGCTATTGACGCAGCCCTGCGCAGCCTCCTGCCAGCCTGCCGTCCCATTCTGCCGGCCGCACCGTGACACGCACACTCCGCGGTGGATCTGGGTGCGGTTGTAGTGCTTCAGAGACTGTTTAGAGTAGTCCTGGAGAGGAAAAGTACTTATAAATATACTTTATTAAAAATAACGACTTACAAGTGTATGGGAGAGCTGCGTCGTAACGAATGGGTCAGCTCGACCCAAGTGATACCACGGTCTCACAGAAAACCGGCGTGAAACAACCACAGCGTTGTGTTTCGCCGTGTGAGTGAGGTTACCGGATGACTAATTCTTACCCTCCCCTAATCCCTCTCCGAGCTTAAATGCCTAAAGCCCTAAAACAAACACTACTAGTTTCAAGTCATTACAGGACTCTTATTTATTCATGAGTAGCGTGCTCGTCGTGGTTATCTCACCCATCACAATTATTACTAGAGCTCTAGTAAAATAATTCACTTTGAAGAAATCTTTGTGTGTTGATTTCTGAATTATTGTATCATTCATTCAATCATTGTAAGTATTAAAAATAATCATATTTTTTTTTATTTAGATGGTATTCCATACTTTCCTGAATTCTAAAATTAGCGAAACTTACTTATTCTGATGCAAATCATTCTATTTCGTTATTTGACAGTAAGTAGCAGGTGCATATAAGCGTAATCAATTTAAAAACAAGTTCAATACGATTATTTGGAACGAAGAAAGTGATTCAATTTGAAGCAGAGCATCAACTTTTACTTGTTATTTATAGAACTTACTCTTGATCTTGCTCTTACGTTAATTAATGAAATGTAGATCACTAATAACAAGTCATCTATCAAACTATTTTTAGTAGTTACACATTCTACAAGTGCATGATTTATTATACCTCCAATATTTAATTACAAAATATAAAATTGTTTGCATTTTTAAAGATATTTGTGTTACGGAGAAATTATTAATGCCAATGTTTGAGATTCTGAACTTTCAATGTCAATAATCGCATAGTGTTTATCGCCTTTCAAAAATATAATAATCTACGTCTTAATTGAAGTATCATCATCAGCCTACACCTGTCCACTGCTGAGCGAAGGCCTCTTCTCACGGAGTAACTTTGAGCAATATACATATATGACGCTTGCTCAAGGCAGATTGGTGAATTCAAACATATAAATCTACGTTTCTTCACGATGTTTTTCTTTTGCCATTTGTCAGTAGTGGTGCTTAGCTGTACTTAGAAAGTAAACACATATAACTAAGAAAAAATCCCATTGGTTCTTACTTGCCAAGTTTAAGGATTTGAGTTACTATAAATGAGAAGTGGGAGTTTCAACCTTCGGGCCACCACGTTAGTGTTATTAAAGTAAGGCAACGTAATATTATTTGATACCTTTCTGTTAAAAAACATCAAATAGGTACGATAATTTCCTATGAGTTTTTTTTATGAAAAATTAATTAGGGACGTCATAACATTTTTGCCTCATACAGTTAATAATTAGCTGGAAAATACGTACCTTCATTATAAATAATATCAAGGTAATTAATGAAAGTGTAAGGTAGTTTGAAGTGTTTTTATAATATATTTTGAAAAGTTCAAATGAGTTATTTTTGACTGAGGAAGCTAATAACCAATTATTTGTAAACAGACTAATATAGGGGTAGAAACTAAGTCTCGTCTCTTCAATTGGTGACGGGAACACTCCCGGTCTATTTTATGTGGTAAATATAAATGAAATCAAAAGGGTAGAAGCACAAAAATTGCTATTTAGTACAACGGGTTTTGTAGGTGGTTTAAAAACCATTCAAGTAATACCCCAAAAGTCTTCCAAATAAAATCTACGTTTATTCTAATTTCAAAACCAAGATATATATATATATATATATATATTGTATGTTTATATCTGTAGATTTATGTACATTTATTTACATATCTACTCGTGTCGACATTTAGACGAAATTCTTCATATCAACAACAACTTTGCATTGACGACCTTGTGCTTACAACACACTGGACTTGTGATCTCTGGCAATTCCTTGCTTTAGAACTTACTCAATGGTACAGACAGAAGGACATTTTTATATGTATTTACGAAATAACACAATCAAGTTTAGAACTCGGTGCTTAACAGTCTTGAGAAAGGGGTTATCAGTTTGACCTGTAGTTTGTGAGTGATCTTGATGATAGATGTTAGTGATAAAATTAATAAAATGATTTTACGTATATTTGTCTGTCATTATCAGGTTGAATGATTCTTCTTCTTGTCACATTTATCATGGCATTATAATTGATTTTGTATTTCTTTTCCCTTGTTTATTCAATAATTTTCTATTTTATATTTTTCTGCTTGTGTTAGCATTATTTACTGTAAATAATTTCCATTACTGGAATTGAGAAGATCCTTTATTATTTTAGTAAATGAACTATTTGTTTCTTATTTATTTAAATAAATACTTTTTGATCTGATTTCGATATCATTGGAGCTTTGTAAGTTATATCGACACCAAATATTAAATACCAAATATTAATATCTTTATATTTTTCCTAACACACAGAGTCATAAATCTTCATTTATGAACGTTGGCCTTCATGGAATGTTGTTTGAACTTATTTAGATGGTATAAGGCAATAGAGATAGCTCGTGTATGGTTGCCAAATAATCTGGTTATTGAATGAAATAGTCGCACAGCGTGGTCGGCGCCGGCGCTTGCTGTGTCGTGTACACAATCGTGACCTTTGCAACACGTTTACATTATTTGTTAAAAACGACCTGCGAAATGTTTGATCAATTAAGATTCTAACTTTTGACCGTTTTGCGTTAGACTTATTTAATAAATTACTCTTATCTTAATGATAATTTAAGAAGTGTGATTTTTAAGAATTGTGGGGGAACCGAGTTGCGACACAAATTGGTCGGGTCGAATGGAGTGGTACCACGGTCTCACAGAAAACGTATCGTAAGAAAACCACAGCATTATGTTTCACCGTATGATTGAGGTTACCGAGGCCTAATACCTTCCCTCCCCCAATCCGTCCTTAAAAGGCTGTCAACGTACTCGTAACTCCTTTAGTGCTGTGGGTGTCCAAGGGCAGCGCTGATTGCTTATCATCAGGTAATCCGCTTACTCGTTTACGGACCAATCCCATAAAAATACCAATACTGGAATAAGAGTTCCGTTGACTTCAAACTAGTCGAGCTTTTCTCATAAAGTTGACTCAAATCGTGTTTTTTATTAATAAATTGAAATAAATGTACATAAAAAATATAAATGGATGATAATGTAAACACAATATAATGTAATACTATTTAGTCATTTATTGCAGTTTATATTTATTTAACCTCGACACGGCTTGCAATAGTTGCAATGGTGTCTATACAACATTTGTTTTCTGTGTCGATAGTCAAATATTTACTACAATCGTAAATAACAAAATTAAGTAAATACAGAATAATATTTTATTACAACCTTTATGTTTGTGTGGCAATAGACACACCCTTTGTTATGCGAGATTATTTAAAAACATGTAAATATTTCGTTACTGGAGAATATTCTTTGACACTGATCTTTTCTAGTGTGGGGAAAATTATCAAAAGACTTCTATCGACCAGGGTGAGATGAAAAGGGGCGTCAGACTGTTACTGACTAAAAATCCCTATTTGCTGCTGCTAGGCCGTGGTACCTGATTGCTCTTGCCCCGGCTGGTTAAGCCCCATCTTTTTTTCTTTTTAAATCGTTGCCCCACACTAGGATTTTCTCCTGTGTCGTGGATGCGATTACAAACATACAATTTCACATACACATGACACCCAGACCCGAAACAATTTGTGGGTCACACAAAGTGTTTTCCGTGCGGGAATCGGACCCGCGATACGTCGCACGGCAGCCAGATGCCCAGGCACCGCGCCTAACGTGCAGTCAAGTCATCTGGTGTTCTATTTTGAGGCTCTGTGGTGGTCTTTTAGATCTATGAGGCTTTGTCACTCATCTATGAGCGTATAAGTTCGTAAATATATGTAGAACTATCTACTAACAGATCTGTAAGATATTTATTTTGGTATATATTGTGTTGTAAGTAAGTATATATTTTGGATGTTAGTTACGCTTTCACCTTAAAACTACTGAACGGATTTTGATGAAAACTGCCACAGAGATATACTATAGTTTGGAATAACTCAAAGGATACTTTTGATCAAGGCGCTGGCAAAAGTTTGTCTTGCTTTTGAAATCTGATATAAAAACTCCAGTGTCCTTTACTGAGTAATTCGAAGACCAAAAGTGAATAATACTTAACAGACTAGAACGGCAGTCCTCAAAAGTAGGAACATTATGTCATATTAAACACAAAATGTTACCTATTCGCGATGGGCCCTAGTGTTACATAAACTGTATAATTCTTGCGAGTCTCGCGCTAAGTACGTGTAGGGAATATATGTATTGCGCGTTATATAACATAATTATATGTATATGTTTAAGGAAGCATCTCACTCGGTTACTTGGCCACAAGCCTGCACCCAGCGCATGCGTATTAAACACACGTCTCTCAACTAATTTAGAATCAGATGCATCGCGCATTAATGATTCGTTTGTTATTTATATTTAGATGTGGTGTTTATTATTTCCGTAAACATGCTTTAAGAAGATTTTAATACGTTATAGAGAAAAGAAAATAGCGACTTTAATAAAAAAAATATTTTAGATATTTTTACATTAAATATATAACTAGAACGTATGGAATTTAAAAAATGAAGGTTGCATGGCTGATGATGATGTATAATCAAGTTCGTAAAAATTAATAAATAAGCAAAAAAAAATTACTATATTTTTTATATATAAAAATTTTGTGTCACGTGTTTGTCCGCGTTGGACTCCTATACTACTAAACCGATTTTAAATTTAATTTGCATTCCGTGTGCATTTCGATCCAACTTGAAAGATAGGATAGCTTACATCTCAATTTATAGTCACAATATTATTTACCTTAGCCACAGCAACGCGTGGTTGGCTCTGCTAGTTATTAATATAAAATATATTATTATTAAAATATATATTGATCTTTCGTGAAATAAATGGATTTATATAAAATATCTATATAATTATATGTATTACTTTTACACAAAAATAACCTTATTATCATATATCTAGAGTACATCTATATTATTATATATCTTATTTCTATACACAAATAGTGCAGAAATACCCGAGTTATGTACATGAAAACTCAAGGCAAGCTACACAAAGTGTGTACGTGTACATTCTAAATGCAATGAGTTATGCACACAATGATTATTGTTATTGCAACACAACCAGGTTCAAAGGACTTGTTAATTTGCTTCAATAATATGAAATATAATGAGTTAATAATGTCTTGTTTTAAATCGTCTGTGTCTAAAAATAATTTATTTATTTATTAAAAAGTAGGCTCACAGCTTATGTACACAAAGTGGTTTGAAGTATTGTTTATAGGCCGTAGATCATATACCTATGTATATAAGCCAGTTAAGAGCTAACCAACAATCTAAAAATTATGCGTCTATACAGTCAAAATATATAGAAATTAAAACTAGAAATAATTAAATTAACATAGGTAGGACAACAGTATAGGTAATTTGTATGAATGTTTTTTTTATGTGATAGGTCGGCAAACGAGCAGATAGATTACCTAATAGTTAAGCCCATGGACACCCGTAATAACATAAAAATTACGAGTGCGTTGCCGTCATTTCTGGGATTAAGATTCCGGAGATTTCCCGGATTGGGAGGAATGAGGGGAGGGGAAAGAAAAAAAGATTGGGCCTCCAGTAACCTCACTCACGCGGCGAAACAAAACGCCGTGGTTGTTTCACGCTGGTTTTCTGTGAAGCCGTGGTACTACTCTAATCGAGCCGACCCATTTCTGCGAAGCTTGGCTATCCCACAATTAAAACTGAATATTAAAAACTTCCACGTGTTTTTCCCATTTCTTGGTATGTTCTATGACTTTTAGTCATAGAGTAAATCTCTTTTTTATTTTTCAATTCGAAACAGTACATCGAGAGATTATCGCGATAAATCAAACACAACATTCACTTCATGATTCTACAAATGTCTGTTACCGGTGACAAATTTTTTTGCTTTGCATTCTAAATTTAAAAACGCAACTTTTCAGGACCGTTTTTATAAATATTTGTATAAGTAGATATAAATTATTTGAAACAAATGAGCTTTGGTTTCCTTTGAAAACATACTTTATATTTTTATCATTGCTTCCTTTATTTTACCTTTATTAAGGTTATACATAAGAGTAACAGTAGGTACCTATTATTCTAATTGTTAATTTGATAGCCTTAGAATCGAACACCTTGACCTCCGCTCAAAGTTGTACAATTATTTGATCATTATGTTATATTATTGTAATACGTGTGTAATAGTTGAAAGCAAGCATGGCCAGGTGCAATTATTGTATTTATTTACTTTGCCATTTGAAGGTTTCAACAGTTACATTAATTATGTAATTGTAAAAAAGAATAATTTAATATTCCTACAAATTCAAGAAAATAACGTATTTATGTATGTAATGAATTAATTGATATCATTTAAAAAAATGGAGGCAACGTTGTAAAATGAAATATCTTTTAGCTATTGCCTTGCAGTATTCTTTGACAAAGGGACTATGTAGTTATGTATGTGGTTATGGTGTATGTTGTATACAAAAATATATATTCAATTGGAATCAGTAGTTACAGAGATTATCGCGTTCAAACGAATAATAGCAGTTTAGATTATCGAATGAAAATACTTCGTAGTACCCTTATACACACGGTCGCGCGTTGAAGTCTTTTTAACGTAGCATTCAGATTAGTTTTTTTTATAATAACTTCTAGTTATTGAGAACAAAATATGTATTAGTAGAACTTAAACTTAAGTTTACAAGATATTCAAAAATCGAGAGCTTGAAAAAAATAATTAACAACACTTCTACTCTTTTGAAAATTTCCGCAATCATCATGTTGCGTATGTTGTATATTTTTTATTTTTGGCTTTTATATTTCGAATAAATAGCATGGGTAAATTCTAACTAACTTATAGAGCTTATAACACACAGCTAAAGACTACATCTAAAACCAAAAATATTTTAAAATAATTATACTCAAACTCATTAATTGCAAAAATGGGTAATGACAACATGGATACATTAAAAAGTTTGGTATCTCCATAATCAGCCTGAAGGTATGCAATTTTATTGATATTTATTTTACTGCTAGTGGAAATTAATAATTGTATTATCACGATTCAAAGAAGCCGTGCTTTTTATATATCAACAAACACATGTTCTTCTGACGTGAACACCTTACATATTAAGTATAATTATGGTGAAATCATACCCTTAACAGCATCATAGCTGGTGAAGGTTCCCTGGACTGCAGCGCGGCGTCGACGATGCAGTACACGTCTCCCGGCCGCCGGCACTGCTCCCACTCCTCCAGGCCATACAGCGGAGGCAGTGTGGCGAAAACCGTGTCTGAAACACATGGAAAACAAAATAATTAATTTTATAATAATAATAAAGTGATAAGAATTAGTGGCTTCTGAAGGCACCTGTTCGAAACCGGGAGTTTATAAGGTATAAGTGGCCAATCATCTTTATCTATAACCGACTATAACTTTATACGTAGCATCCCCTTTTCACTAATAAAAATTAACTTTTAACGTAATGTGAATCTTCAGCTCGTTTCCATCCATTGTTGCACATAGGTATCTCCAAATACACGCTACTGAGCACAATTTTCACCTATTCTCATCCACCCTCTGCCAGTAAGTAACCTTACCTATAGCGTCACGTCACCTAGCTGGAGCGCCTTACACTACTTTTACCTAGACGGCCGGTCTTTACTCTGGAATATGTCTACGCCAATTGTCATCGGTTCTTCGATAAATGTGACCTACTTACAACCACTGCAGTTTGCTAATTCTTTGGAATGAGACGACAACTTTAGTACTATGAATAAAAGTCTTAATGGCAAGATCGCGAATCTTGCGGTTTCTTCCTATCCAACCCGACTTAGGAAACAAAATTCCTTGCTCGGTAGCCACGTTTGCTACTTCATCAACGATGCAGTCTCCATTACAGTTGACATGATTATTATCTTGCGATTGTTTTCAAGTACGTCATTGATTGTAACCATGGTACCATTAATACACGAGTCACGGGCCTCAGTACTCTATAAAGGGAACAATAATTACTTGTAGGCATTTGTAGGCCGATACATGTTCCAATGACCTTGACCGCTAGTACAATTTGAGGCGTTCCATGGACACTTGGTCGCGTTGAAGAGCGATGTTTGTGAAGACAGGATAATGAAAGGATGTTCTTAACACGTTGAACGCCATGAGAGACAACATATAGGCCACGCTACCGGAGGATTTACCCTCAATAGTAATCTGTCGGCATTCAATGACTCAATACATTTTTATTTAGTCTTTTTATATGTACATATATATGTAATTAATAAAATATCGTCATAATTAAAGTGTCTAATTGTTATCGGATGTGGCGGTTACAGAGCATACCTACCCATTATTTGTTGACAAGCAATCGGCGCCACCTATGGACACCCGTCGCGTCGCCCTAAAAGGGTTGCCAAGTGCGCTGCCAACCTTTTGTAAAGTAGGTATTTGAGGATTGAGGCATTTAAGTATTTGAGCAATTTAAAAAATACTTACTCTAGTCAAGCCATTATTTCCTAAGCTACACTGTGCTGTTTTAAAATTAAAAGTGCAATTAAATTTAAAATTCGATCTTTGAATTTTATTAATCCAGATAACTAAACGTGATGCATTTTGTTCCCAAAAAGGCCAAACTTTTTTGTTAGTTGTAAATGTATTACCATCCAATACAGATTCTTAGTTCAGAACACTATCAAGATTTTTTAATAAAAATCTACTTCCTTTGAGGTCGGTAGTGATGTTTGCAAACAATAGATCAATGAGACACTTTTTGAAATGCGATATTCGTCTTTCAAGAATAAGTTTCATTTTCGTTTGTTTTTTTTTTATTCTATGTTGGAATCTTGCCCAGTGACTGCTAATGGGGTGACTTCTTCAACTTTTTTTTTATGTAAGGAATTATAAAATTAAATCTTTGAAACTACGCAACGGGTTTTGATGCGGTTTCTTTCAATAGATAGAGTGATTAAAGAAGAAGGTTTATACCTATATTTAATAACTAACATCCATTGAATAGTGGAGAAATTTAGTATAATAGTATAGGTAACGCTACCGTGCGAAGCCGGGCGGGTCGTAAGTACATATATTTATAATTCATATTTATTACAAAAATTGGGAGTAACTTTGAAAATAAGGGTTCATTTTCATATTGTATAATGAATTTATGTATGACTTACAATTGTATTAACTTCTTAATTTAAATAAGTAGTGTGGTAAAATAATTGAAATAAGCATTGTATTAAGTTTAAATAAAACAATATTAGTTTTACTTGAAGTTTTTACTACTATAATATGCAAAAAATGTAGAAATTGCATTTCTAGATTTATTTAGTTTTTTATCTTAATAGTACAAAGAAAAAAATCAAACTTAATATTTCTTCCCTAACTCTTAATAAAATTGTGATATAAAGACAAAATGTTTTATTTACCATACTTTCGTACCCAAAATAATAACACGCACAAAATATACCCTACAATTTCCTCCAATTTCCAGCCATTATGCTACTTACCATTGATATCAACAACACTGGCGACCACCGTAGAAAAACACGCAACAAACCACACGCACCACATATCGACACACCGCCTTGCGCGCGCGCAGCTTCTAACCGACTTGCCAACACCTGAGTAAGGCGCCCGCGCCGCCCTTCTCTGCGTTACGACAGATCATCTCGGTTACACCGTCTCCACACTTGCGTACACGCAGAAAACCAATTTCAATAACTTAGAGACCTGTGTATATCATTTTGCCTTAGTACTTTATCGACATGGTGTCACGTAAGTAGTCCTGGTAAAAGAAAGTTAGCTTTTTAATAATAAAATTAGATAGAATAGGTAATATAAAAAATAATTGTTGTTTTGTCCTATCTAATAATTGTTGAATTAGATAGAGTAATAAAAAAACCGGAACATTATTTAATGACATTCAAGTAAATATACTTATTGCCGTATTAAGGGACATTTAATGATTACTTAAACTTTCCTTAGTACCAATAACAACTCTGTTGAACCAAGAACCAACCAACCAGTTGACCAAGGACTGGGTTAAGTAAGTTGCTATTAAGTTACTCAGGACATTGTTAACATACAAACGTACCTAACATAAGCAGAGCCGAAAGTTAAACATCTGCTTCATTAGCACCATAAAATCTCAAGGTCACCGCTATATCAATATTTGCGCCAATAATAATTATCATTAGCCTTTATTGCCAACCAATAGCATTTAGGCCTTCTGCATTCACCCGCAATGCGACATAGTCGAGGATTTTCAATCTGGTCAAGTGTGAGTTGCTAAACAGCGAGAGATGTGTTAACGTTACTGGTTATAGAATGCGCAACAACATGTCATTGATTTTGGAATATTTTGGGATATTGCATTGTATATAAACATATTTATAGTCGCCTAGTTTTAACTAAACGTTGCGAAGGAATGGCACATAAAGTTAGTTACTACATCGATTGTGTCAGCCGGCTTATTTAACATCCTGTTATATTTTAGAGATCTCAGCTTGAAGCTAGCTTTTAGGCAACTATGAATGATGGAATTTCAGTGTGTCCGTGATACAGTAAGACTTCCCCGGTAGTACGACTTCCCATTATATGTATCACTAGGCCGATTAGTAGCGATTACCACGGGGAAATCTACCTTAACGTTCGGTTACCACTGGTGGCTCTCAGGTCTTGATGGCATGTAAGCTAAGCGTCCCAAATACGGGCGCGCCTGTAAAACCTGGCAAGTACCAATGTGACTTTTTAGTGTAATTAGATAAACGGTGAAGGAAAAAATCGTAAGGAAACCTAGATTTATAATTTCTAAGAATAAAATCTAAAAAACTACCGCTGTAATAAAATAAATGCACTTATGTCTGTTTCATTGATTGATTTTAGATCAATCATTGAAATGATCAATTATTTACGCTTATTTTTGCTTTATACTCATAAAGCGAAAATAAGCTTTTGCCCGACTCAGGAACTGAACGAGAAACGTACACTAGACTAACAACAAAATAAATAAACATGTTGTGGTTCCGTCAACGCCATAATGCAACCTTGACCGAGTTTCCTGTTTTCTATAGAAAATATTGTAAAGTGCACGAAGTTCGCTACCCACCTGTCTCCAGCAACAAGTTTGATAGTGTTGCCACACTTGAGGTGAACGTCCACATTGTCAGTTCAAGGTCCAGTGTTGCAACATCGGAATTAACTAACGTGCAACAGCGTCGTATTACTTTCTGTAATCTATACTCGTGTATGATTATAAAACTCATCGTGATTGGTTTTAAGAATTTGTTTTTAGATGCGTACTAATATGCACTTATGATTCGACGGTCACCGCAATTGGCTATTTATCAAACTGTCACAGTTTCGATTTGTCCATTAAATCAGTCCACAAATTGGTGTGCCAGTTCCGAATGTGGTCCTGGGCTTGCGGGGCAAGCGCACTAAAGTGCCTCAGCCTAGAGCCGGAGAAGAAACAGGGTGTTTTTAGTCAATAAGAGTCAAACCCTTCTCTTGCGTCACCTGGGGCGAAAATGAGAAGTCATTAGAAGATTTTCCCCTCACAAAAAAAGAGTTGATGTGTATGTAAACTTGTAGGTTTATAAACGTGCCCAAGACACAGAAAATCCTAGTGGAGACCTTTGACCTTATTAACAAAGTTCTTTAAAAAGCAATGAAGAGTCCACTATAGTAAACCACACAATTAACACACAAAATAAAAAGCGAGCATCAAAATAATGACTTTTTAATGAATTGTTTTTTTCTCAAATTTCAAATATTTATTAATATTTACATGAATAATCTTATCGTAAACGTAAAATAAAAATATCGTTGATTACGTTTGACAACACCGCGTCTTGTTCATTGCTTGACAACCCTATTCTGTTATAGACACATTAAAACTAAAAGTGGCATTTTCCAAGTACATTAAAAAACTCAAATGCTATCTAAATTGCTTTAATTACTATCTACTAGATGTCAGAGAGTATATTTCTATAATATGGGATCTCCCAATGCGATTCAAAACTGTTTTAATCTATGGAAGCTGTTTCGACACTAGTCTGTCAAAACTATGGTAATTCTGTTTCCAGTTTCAATGTGTCAATAATCATAAGCGCTTGCGCATAACTTCGCAAACATTTGCTGCAAAGATCTTCGTGGTACTTAAAATAGTAGCACGCGCCATTCTAAAACGTATTTCGATGAGACTAAGAGTTAAATTAGTAGAGCAAGTATATCACCTTAATATTTATTGCCTTATTCTATTTAAATGCTACATTTTTACATAATACGTTGTTAAAAAACGCTACGAGGCTGGATCTATAAGCTGGATATTTCCCCGAGTTACTATGTAGGAAAATATTTCGTTTTAGGATGGCGCCTCCTACCATTCTCTGTCCGTACCACTTTATATAAAACACCACGATGTCTCGTCAACATGTTATTATCAAAAAACGTTTATAATATGGAATTATACAAATTATTTTTTTTCCAATAATTATCTTTATAATTTTAGGCTTATAATAAAAAAATGCTGCGGTTACCTAAATGTACTTTAATGGCGTAGAAAAAAAAATTCCATTTGATTTCAGTTTACGTAAATTCTAAGGCAGGATTTGCTGATAAAAAATACTATAGTTACAGCCTAAAATTACAAAGACGTACAAAATAATATATTGATAATAAAAACTATCTAAATTAAGTAAACGATCATAGACGAAAACGCAACTTGAGTAAAACTAAATAAATACAGGGTGTAAACAATTGCTCCATCAATAAATATTATAACATCTTTATTCCATTTATAGTTATAAATTTCAACGGTCCATTTCATGGATACCACTCGGTCATCTAATTACTTTATATTTATACATATTCCAATTAGCAATTTTTTACACCTTATACTAAATTATGTACAAGTGTGCTATATATGAAAATATCTTTTTATATTATATCAAAGCGAAAAGCAATTTATCTAACGTATAGGACGCAAAATGAATAATTATTTAATTACTACAAAAGTCCGGACGAGATGGCCTACATTACCCGATCACTAATAATTGAAACTTTTCATAACTCCACCTCGCCCGGATATATCACGTTATTTAGAATTTAAAATCGTAAATAATGTGTGGAATAAATTATAAACATTGCACGTTGGCTTTGTCACTCACTTATTAAAGGCTACCTCGATCGGTCATAGTTTGACATTGACAGCTGTCATATATGACAGCCACGAAACGAAACACCATGTACGTTATTGTATAGTATACATTTAAAACACCTTTCAGATTAATAATAATAATTTCCACATAAAGTAAAATGGGGTATCACATGGCTAATTAAAACTAAGAATTTTATTGCGATTTTTTAGTTAACCTATGTTAGTGTTTCAATTAGCCCTGTAGTCACTCTGTACATAGCAGTAAGAGCTATAATTCAACATAACTTTATTATGGCTTAGTCGTAAAGCTAATATGTCGATGGTGGATAGGACTCCCGGTACAATAATATTGCGAAGACGACCTCTTCTAGTTACACATAGTAACTGCGACGAAGGACCATCGATCCTTAAACCGAAGCGGTACAAAAAACTAAGTTACAGCAAAATAATACTTTTGAAAGACATAGGACTTAATTTCGAATTGTACCTACAGGTGCTGGACCCTGTGGATATAGAATAACGTCTAATTTACATCAGCAACGTAGCTTACTTACGCCGTTCCGTATTGTCTTATGATAAGAAGTGGGAGAAAAAGGCATACGAGGGTAAAGTCAGGTGGGGAAAGCACTTGATCACATGACTTATAAAAATTCATCTATTTGAAGAACTCGCTCTAAGATCGCTACCAGCACGCATTTATTCACACACGGTGCAAATCTATTTGCCATAGAAACGCTCGCTAAACTATTTGCATCTAGCATAGACTAAGAATGAAGAAGAGGAGCAGTATTCACATAACCAAGTGCCCCCTCTTTGCGAATAAGTATCGTAGAAGGACTTTAACATAGAAAATTATTGTCGTTGTAGAAAATAGGAGGTAAAAAAGAAAATGGATAATGTTTTAGACACCGATTTATGTATATGTAGATAGGCACTCATTTAGAATTCTAATCACACGTAATAATTTAATTTTTATATTATTTCTATTTGCATAATTCATGCTTCGTAGCACGTTTGCGGAGACAGGTGCTACTGGATTGATTAAGGGCTGATTTTTCAATAGTCAGATAAATGTATCTGAGGAATAAAATTGTTGCTGTCACTGTCTTATACAAACAAACTGACGCGACAGCATATAATATTCCCCAGATAACTTTTATGTAATCATTGAAAAATCAGCCTTCAGTCGAATACCTGAGACTTAAAACCTTGTAAAGCATTACAAGAATTCCCAAATAAATACTGTCTCAGTAATATAGTCTTTATGTCATAAGTTTTAAGGCTGTTTATTGATAATTTTATGTGTACTTACAAATGAATTGAAACCATTTCTCCAGGCCATTTGATTACATATTTACAATACATTCGTAACGTTGGAAGATATTAAGGATTACAATTTAGATTTGACCTTGTAGAAAGAGTTTAAATAAATTTTCAAGTACGCACAAGAGTTTCGAAAACGACAATTTATCTTTGGAATTATAATTATTAGACAAGACTTGGAGTTGTTTAGACATGATTATTTTGGTCTGGCAATAACCAAATTTGCTTAAAGTTGGATGTCAGGAAGTATGGTCAACTAGATGTTATTGCAATAATTGATAGTCTATTTCTTAAAAGGGAGAATTTGAAACTACTTTCTTGCTGTATGAATGAGGATAAGATATCTCTGTATGTACTGTTTCGTAAAGAAAGCATGGCGGTATATACCAGTTCCATATTTGAGCAGTTTATTCAACCCAGTCCAAGCTTCCTTTTTTTTAAAAAAAAAAAGAAAATTCAATTTGAAAACTAAATAGCAATGTGATAGGCAGATTGTCTTACTCTTATCTGTGATGATTTTTAAATTAGATTTCCAACTTTATTATTTTGTTATGGAGACGAAAATCTAATAAAAAGCCTCTTACAGATTGGAGTAGGTTGACCTGCTAGTCTCTGAAGGTATTTTATAGATTGAATAGAAAAGATATTAAGAAGATAATTGTTTATATGCCTGAATAGTTTTAAAATGAAAATAAACCAAGTATGTTCAAAGGTCAACGTACTTTTATACACGTGAACCTGCTTATACGTTAAGGAACAAATCGATACCAGTACCAACAAGTAGATAAAGCTACTCTATTGTTTGTAATGCATTTTCAACCTTCATACCTTCGTGATAAGTTTGAAAATGTCTTGCGTATTGGTATATTTTGATGTGCTACTGTATGTAAGAATATGGTGGTTTTGAGGTAAGGCCGGGGTGCTAAGACGGCGCGGTCTCAGTCGACGCCTGCGAAGCCCTGTGACCCTTCAATGGCCTTTATCAGCTTCTCTCGTAGTTGCTGATAGCTTTCGTAAGGCGGGAGATCTATGCGGTTAAAGCTGTGGAAAAAATACTCAGTTAATAATAATATTGGTGAACATAATTCTATTGGGAACGGATGAATGCATAGTGCATTAATATTAGCGACGTAAAAGTTCACATCTATGACAATTGGAGAAATGAGGTTTAAGTTGAAAACATTTCAGTCAAAAGTAAAAGGAGGCATAACAACCAGGTTGGCAACATTATGATAGATTTAGTTAATATTTTACTATGATTAATACTGTTGTTCTACCTATGTTAATTAAATTAGTTCTAGTTTTAATTTCTATATATTATTTTGACTGTATAAACGCATAATTTTGGTTAGCTATTAGTATATTAGAATGTTGGTTAGCTCGTAACTGGCTAGTGTATATGACCTACTGCCTATAACCAATACTTTAAACCACTTGAATACATAAGCTGTGAGCGTACCTTATAATAAATAAATAAATAAATAAATAGACTAGTAACATTCCACTGAAGTATATGATCTAGCGTCTCTATAACTTCATGGTCGACAACAACCACAGCGTTGTGTTTCGCCGTGTGAATGAGGTTACTTGTAGTTAATCCTTTGGTACTACGAGTGTCCATGGGCGGCGATGATTGCTTACCATCAGGTAATCCGTCTGCTCATTTTCCGACCTATAACATAAAAACTATCTATCTATCTAACTATCCCTTCCCAATCCTTAAATAACCGAAACCCTTATCCCTAAAAGGTCGGCAACGCACTCGTAACTTCTTTAATGTTGCAACTTGTCATGGGCGGCGCCGATTGCTTACCATCAGGTAATCCGTATACTCGTTTGCCAATCTAACACATAAAAAAACAATATGGCGAAGAATATTATAGGGTATACTGACCAGGTATGCGCCCGGGGGTAGTTGTCAGGCGCTCCCCACTTCTCGATGGTGAAGAGTTGCGGGCCATTACTGCCGTACAGCTCCTTGAACCCATTCATTGGCACGCGGGACGTTCCAGTCACAAACTGCAGCAGGCGGGAACGCATCTCATTGGAGAACGATAGCACCACCTGCAGGAGACTTATTCGTTACATCAACATTGTCAAATTCTCGTAGTTATGAGCTCCGGTGTTTATCGAAACTGGTCGAGAAGTCCCCGTATAAAAAGACGTTAGACTTTATAAGATATAATATTGGTTTTCTGGAATGTGAATATATAATCTGTTTACATTGTGTTTAAACAAGTGTTGAAATATTCAAATGAAATTGAGTCTGACATGGAATTGGCTACCACAAAATATTTAAGCGTCGTCATCACTGTAATCATCAGCTTATAAGCAGGGGTGTTAGGGAGCTCCGTAACCGTAACCGAAACTATCGAATATCCGATATAAAAAATCATCCGTAACCGTAACCGAATCCGAAATTAAAGTTTCGGATAGTATCGGATAGGGGCGGAGCCTAATTGAGACACGTTATGACAAGCTGTTTTGATCGGCCGGCCACTGCCAGTCTCGACACACAAGCTGCGCGCATTGTTTGTTTTTTTTTCTTCTTTGACAAATGTGTTGGTTGTCTTACGTAATCGATTGAATTTGTACAAAATACGTCCTAAGTCGAGAGCAGTTTGGTCGTTTTTTGATGAAATGACCGATTCCGCAAAATGTAAACAGTGTGTTAAAAGCTTTTCAAGGAAAGGAGGTGGGACTATATCGCTAAAACTTCACCTTAAATCACAACATAGTGATAAGTACGAAGAATTTTACTTTTAAAATTCCTTAAAAATATAATATCCGTAACCGAAACTAACGGATAATCCGAAATAATTTATTATCCGTATCCGTAACCGTATCCGGTATAATAATCATTCCTATATCCGTATCCAATCCGTAACCGAAATTTCATATCCATAACATTCCTGCTTATAAGTGCCTACTGTTGAACAAAGGCCTTTCTCACATGGAAAGGGTTTGAACATTAATTACCACACCACGCTTGCTCTAGCGTGTTGGCGCGCCAGTCGCGCACGTCGATGTGCTGTGTGTGTGTGTGTACCGTACGCACCCTCCAGAACCACTGGACGACGAGATGGTTGGCGTGGTAGTCCCCCTTGTAGAGCGTGTTGGCGCGCCAGTCGCGCACGTCGATGTGCTGTGTGTGTGTGTGTACCGTACGCACCCTCCAGAACCACTGGACGACGAGATGGTTGGCGTGGTAGTCCCCCTTGTAGAGCGTGTTGGCGCGCCAGTCGCGCACGTCGATGTGCTGTGTGTGTGTGTGTACCGTACGCACCCTCCAGAACCACTGGACGACGAGATGGTTGGCGTGGTAGTCCCCCTTGTAGAGCGTGTTGGCGCGCCAGTCGCGCACGTCGATGTGCTGTGTGTGTGTGTGTACCGTACGCACCCTCCAGAACCACTGGACGACGAGATGGTTGGCGTGGTAGTCCCCCTTGTAGAGCGTGTTGGCGCGCCAGTCGCGCACGTCGATGTGCTGTGTGTGTGTGTGTACCGTACGCACCCTCCAGAACCACTGGACGACGAGATGGTTGGCGTGGTAGTCCCCCTTGTAGAGCGTGTTGGCGCGCCAGTCGCGCACGTCGATGTGCTGTGTGTGTGTGTGTACCGTACGCACCCTCCAGAACCACTGGACGACGAGATGGTTGGCGTGGTAGTCCCCCTTGTAGAGCGTGTTGGCGCGCCAGTCGCGCACGTCGATGTGCTGTGTGTGTGTGTGTACCGTACGCACCCTCCAGAACCACTGGACGACGAGATGGTTGGCGTGGTAGTCCCCCTTGTAGAGCGTGTTGGCGCGCCAGTCGCGCACGTCGATGTGCTGTGTGTGTGTGTGTACCGTACGCACCCTCCAGAACCACTGGACGACGAGATGGTTGGCGTGGTAGTCCCCCTTGTAGAGCGTGTTGGCGCGCCAGTCGCGCACGTCGATGTGCTGTGTGTGTGTGTGTACCGTACGCACCCTCCAGAACCACTGGACGACGAGATGGTTGGCGTGGTAGTCCCCCTTGTAGAGCGTGTTGGCGCGCCAGTCGCGCACGTCGATGTGCTGTGTGTGTGTGTGTACCGTACGCACCCTCCAGAACCACTGGACGACGAGATGGTTGGCGTGGTAGTCCCCCTTGTAGAGCGTGTTGGCGCGCCAGTCGCGCACGTCGATGTGCTGTGTGTGTGTGTGTACCGTACGCACCCTCCAGAACCACTGGACGACGAGATGGTTGGCGTGGTAGTCCCCCTTGTAGAGCGTGTTGGCGCGCCAGTCGCGCACGTCGATGTGCTGTGTGTGTGTGTGTACCGTACGCACCCTCCAGAACCACTGGACGACGAGATGGTTGGCGTGGTAGTCCCCCTTGTAGAGCGTGTTGGCGCGCCAGTCGCGCACGTCGATGTGCTGTGTGTGTGTGTGTACCGTACGCACCCTCCAGAACCACTGGACGACGAGATGGTTGGCGTGGTAGTCCCCCTTGTAGAGCGTGTTGGCGCGCCAGTCGCGCACGTCGATGTGCTGTGTGTGTGTGTGTACCGTACGCACCCTCCAGAACCACTGGACGACGAGATGGTTGGCGTGGTAGTCCCCCTTGTAGAGCGTGTTGGCGCGCCAGTCGCGCACGTCGATGTGCTGTGTGTGTGTGTGTACCGTACGCACCCTCCAGAACCACTGGACGACGAGATGGTTGGCGTGGTAGTCCCCCTTGTAGAGCGTGTTGGCGCGCCAGTCGCGCACGTCGATGTGCTGTGTGTGTGTGTGTACCGTACGCACCCTCCAGAACCACTGGACGACGAGATGGTTGGCGTGGTAGTCCCCCTTGTAGAGCGTGTTGGCGCGCCAGTCGCGCACGTCGATGTGCTGTGTGTGTGTGTGTACCGTACGCACCCTCCAGAACCACTGGACGACGAGATGGTTGGCGTGGTAGTCCCCCTTGTAGAGCGTGTTGGCGCGCCAGTCGCGCACGTCGATGTGCTGTGTGTGTGTGTGTACCGTACGCACCCTCCAGAACCACTGGACGACGAGATGGTTGGCGTGGTAGTCCCCCTTGTAGAGCGTGTTGGCGCGCCAGTCGCGCACGTCGATGTGCTGTATGCCACAGAGCAGCAGCTCGAGCTCGTTCTCGTCGAAGATCTTCAGCAGCGGCAGCGGCACGAGCGCGCTCAGCCCCTCCAGGAACGCGAACATCTGCTCCTGCACGCGCGACACGAAGCGCCACTGGATCACCAGTCTGCGGGACAATTTTATTGTGATAATTAGGGTGGGATCATAAAATACGTGTCACAAGTGTGAGAGAGCCAAGCTTCGGCACGAATAGGTGGGCTCGACCGGAATAATACCACGACCTTACAGAAAAACGGCGTGAAACAACCTCAGCGTCGTGTTTCGCCGTGTGAGTAAGGTCACCGGAGGCCCAATCCCTGCCCCTCCCCCATCTCTTCCCAATCCTTAAATATCCAAAACCATTATCCCCAAAAAGCCGGCAACGCACTCGGTACTCCTCTGTTACGACTGTCCATGGACGGCGCTGATTGCTTACCATCAGGTATACGATAAAAAACGTGAAATGTTTAAGGGGAGGAGAGGGTCCAGTCTAATCTTACGTTGGACGGACGTTTTGAAAAATGTCACGTTAGACTGAGGGATAGGGGAAGGACAAAACAGTAAATAAATATCAAAAGGTTTAACTTTGTATGACAGGTCTGTCCTCTAGTTCATTTGCTCGTTCCAAATTGTAGATTCCTTTTGAAAAGAACGAACAAGAAACTCCAGGGTTACATGACATTCTAATAGATAAGTGTGAATTGTATGGTATTAGAGGACCTGCATTAGAAATGGCAAAAAAAGTGCATTTAGATCAGAATTTCAACCTAATAAAACTGGGGTACCTCAAGGCAGCATTCTGGGACCTTTACTATTTATAAATGACCTGCCTAAAGCTACCAATCATCATCATGCGTAATGCGTAATGTTTGCTGATGATATATCGCTTGTTGTGACACATGGTTCCAACGCAATCACTCAAGGGGCTCGGTTAAAGATCGCAGTGGATTTCGCATTGCTCGGTTAAAGACCCTCAAAATTATAAATTTTGCATGCCATCTATATTATGGCGAAGTGTGAAGTTTCACTGTTTAGCTCTAAGATATTTCTGTACCATGCTCCTGCAAATAAATGAGTTCAGCCGTCAGCCGATTGCATCCGAAGAGATAGGTCACTAACTCACTATTGTCACCCAGTAGACACCTCAGGATGGATACCGCAGGCAGGGAAGATCCCGGAAAAGATATCGTGACGATCTAGACGCCTATCATCAAGACTGGTAGTCACGGTCGAAAGATCGGGAGTTGTGGAAGAAAATGGGGAGTCCTTTGCCCAGCAGTGGGCCATTACAAGCTAGTAAAAAAATGTAACTGACATATAATAATATAAGTATACATACTTGATGTACTCATCCTTGTTATCATTATCGACAGGTATGTTGGCGCCGCCCGGCTTCAGTTCCCGCTGTATGGTCTTGCCGAACTGCTCCTCGTCCACTGAGAACGTCAGGTACAACTCTGACGGGTCGTTTTCCTATAACAAAAATAGGATGTCAACTTCGATCTGGGTTTGTTAGTAAATTCACCCACGATACAGGAGAAAATGCTAGTAGTGCGCAACGTATATAAAATATTATAAAGGTACAATACCTACATAGTATAAAAAAACGCATTTGACTACAAGTTATTATTTACTCAAATAACTTTTTTATGCAGTTATGCAGAGAAGAACAGTAACAATTGGGTAGTTTCCTAGGTCAAAAATGAATTAATTCGACGTTTCAATACAATGAAACATCGAAAAATAACTATACTTTTATTCAACGATCGGTAAATACACTACATTTTAGATACTTTTAAGAAACAAGTACGCTGTTTGACGCAAAAAAAAACTACGTCACAACTCAATTTTTCATACAAATTTCATAGAAAAGTATCGTTTTTGACATTTCGATAAAAGTATTGAATTTGACTAGTTGGAAACTACCGTATTGAGTGGGAGACCCATGCTTCGGCACGAATGGGAAACAACCACAGCTGAGTGTTTCGCTGTAAGAGTGAGGTTACCGGAGGCCCAATCTTTCCCCTTCCTCCAGCCCTTCCCAATCCTTATCGCTCAAAGGCCGGCAACACACTCGTTACTTCTTTGGTGTTATTATAATAACTTACCATCAGGTAATACGTCTACTTGTATCCCATAAAAAACAGTGTACAATGGGTTTTACACGCAGTGTGATTTCTTCCAAACAACCTTTGGATGGAAATTTAAAAGTGAGCTATAAAATAATACTGACCTTAATCCACATAAGTGAGTTGTAGTACTCTAAGTCAACAGATTCCATGTCTAACAGCTCTATCGTCTTGCCTAACATCATCTTGTAGAATGGACGGATGAAGAACGCTGAAAATATAAGCTACAGTTAATACTTCAATACAGTTACAGTGATTCATATTTATTTAATCATAAATATTATTACACAAAAAATGTAAACGAACGTCAAAATCCTTTCAAGTCTCATATTTTTATGTCTTTACTAAAGCTTTCGATTGAATTTACCACGAAATATTTAACAACTTATACGGTCACAATGACTATAAAGTAATTATAATGTACCCAAACTGTATATTATGAATACAATGATTGTGTTTATATATATTTTATATTATATATTTTAATAATTCACTTTAGTAGTTATCAGTATTACACTAAATGGTAGGGATGCCACAAGGATCAATATTAGGACCAACGCTTTTTTTAATTTCAACACATGCCTTTTCTGAAGACATTTTAAAACATACTCCATAAAATATTCTAGATACTTACCATCCAACAGTTTCCCATGGTACACAGCCATGCCTGCGACCCTGCCTATAAACTTAAAGTAGCTGAGATGTTCCTCGTTACAGACTCCACTATTTGGATTAATCTGTAAAGTGTAGTTGTCCATGGCAGAGTATTCGAACAAGCCATAGTAAGGATTAAACATCTCTTTTGACAACAGGAAGAACCATTCACGAGCTAGACCACCATAATCTGAAAAACAAAAGGAAAGATTTAATGAAATGAACTTTATTCTCTATATTTGAAAGTTTAAGTTTAATTAAAGATAAGAATTAATATCTGAACTACAATAGGTGAAACCATATTATCACCACAATCGTTAAACCATTTTAAACTTAACACAAAGCTCAAAGTACTCAAAATACAAATGAATGCAGCAGAGTTTTGGACTTACCAAGACCGACTTCAGATTCGAACTCGACCCATAGCTTAGTCTTGAGCAGGTCGAGGCGGCTGACGGAACTGATGATGCGGTACGAGTCTTCGAGGATTGAGTTACGTCGTACCTTGATCTCGAACTTGTTTGGCACGTTGCTCTGGAGAACAAAGAAATGAACATTGATAATTACAAATAAAAAAATAAATGAAATAGGAAATGTGTTGATCCTAATGTTTTGGGCAAAATAGTTGTCATGCCAATACTCGGAAATCTAGGTAGGAAATCCTACCTATACTATATAAACTGCAACATTTATTTAATACTTTTTAGCATTATTACAATACGATTGTCTATGCAAAGATGACAATTAAAATAACTTTTATATTTTATTTAAACTTTCGACCACGTCTTCGTCGTATTTTGTTTAAACTTTGTCTGATTTCTATATCAGTTCTTAAGAGCCCCCCCTACAGTTTCTATTAGCTAAACTGATACATTTTTAAAGAAAGATACATCAAAAGTAATAAAACAAAAGCCTGTCAAAGTCCAAGCCTAGATCTTAGCAATAATTCCCGAGAATACGGCGCTTAGCGTTCTCCGTTCTGTTCACTTCAAAGAGCCATGCTTCGGCACGAATTGATCGACTCGACCGGAGTAATAAAACGGCCTTACAAAATACACGGCGTGAATCCACCACAGCATTGTTTCACCGTGCGAGTGAGGTTACCGGAGGCCCAATCCTTCCCATCCCCTAATCCCTAAATCTCCAAAAGTCGGCAACGCACTCGTAGCTCCTCTGTTGTAGCGGGCGTCTATTGGCGACGCCAGTTGCATACCATCAAGTAAACCGGCTGCTCGTATCGCAAAATAAAAATATGTTTACGTACCGGTTTGCGCAGTTGACTCTTAAGGTACTCGTACTTGCGCTTGTAGTCCCGCGAGTACGGGACGGCCGGGCCCGCGATCTGGGGGTTCGACAGCCGAGGGTCCTCCCACTGAGTCGTGCGTGTATCTAGTAGATAATACATACATGTTACAGGGAAGAAAAATTGGTGAACGCTTATTTGTGTCAATTTTTACCGTTTTTTGTTTTTGCTGGAGTAAAAGATTCATAAACCACGTTAATTTACTTTAAGACAAAGTCTATAAAGTACAAAAAAATAAGTTTTATTATTTTTTGCATCAGAAATAAAAAGTACGTTACTGTCATTTAGTCAAAATATTTCATCCAGGGACTAATTTATAGTATCTGATTGAGTTACTATTAGTCTAAATCACAGTTCAGTTAAGCTAATAGCAACTTAAAATAAAAAAATATAAACTGGTACTTTGGAACATTCAATGATTGATTGAACGAAAAAGAAAAAAGTAGAAGGGAATACCATTGTTTACGCTGCGACACAAAATAAATAATTAATATAAAAAATGTACCACTTAACAAAATGGCTACAACTCATTGTGATTTTAGAACGCTAATTTTCAACACTAGCTAAAAAAATTAACGATATAAAGCGATGTGTATACTGACTGTGGTCAATGAAGAAGATCCTTCCGTCAGTGTGGACTCGCTCCTCCCAGCCCTCCGGTAGCGCGCCGAGCTCGTCCGCCTCCACGGCGGCACTGCCCGCGCTACCCGCTGCAGACGGCAGGCTGGATGCACAACCTGCACCATGCATGCATTTATTAATGTGTGATACACCCTTAAAAGATTCAAGACAAGTGTTACGACTGTACTTATGAAGATAGACCAACTTAAATGGAGATGAAATAGAGGAACAGGAAAAGTGGGGTAAAATTGTGCCAGACTTGGATCCCAGAGACGGAAAAAGGAAATGGTGAAGACAACTGAAGAGATGGGAAGATGAGTCAAAACTTACAGCAGGCCCTCATTGGAATAGGGTTGCCAGGGACAGAACACATTTTGGGAGTAGTAGATTTTATTGTAGGCGAATTTGGGAGTAGTGGAATTTGGAATGAAAGGGGGAGGATTAGACCTCCGGTGACCATATACACACAGTGAAATACAACGCAAGCATTGTTTCACGTCGATTTTCTGTGGGGCAGCCCTATAGCTCAGGTCAAGCCGACTCGTTTATAGGTACCGACGCATGGCTCGCTCACAGTATAAAAATATAGGGTCACTGGTAATTAGTGGCCATTATTTAAGCTCGTGATTATATACTCCTGATAACAAACATATTTCCTTAAGATATTTATATAGTCATTAGTTTTATTACTGATGGCCTCGTCGCGAACAGATGATTGGGCGACGCACGATACTTGAACTTTGGACGAGTGGCAATAATTTTGTTATAGTAATAATTCTAATAAGTAGAAGAAAAGTTGTGTTTTTATAATAACTATCGTGAGACATACTAAATTAACTAAAAATCGCGGGTACCTCACGTGTCTATCTTGAGAAAAGCTCTACTAGTTTCGAACCACAGAGGGGTTCTTCTCCGCGCACGCTGCTCATGAGGAAGAATCCCTCTGTGGTTCGAAACTAGTAGAGCTTTTCTCAATATATACACGTGAGTAACCCGCGATTTTTAGAAGAAAAGTTGTTTGTTATCGTGAGTACAATGACGTGTTTAAATATAGGTCACTAATTTTACCAGTCACCCTATACATTAATTTACATAAAATATCTTACCAGTTCTGGGATCTATCCACGTCGTCGTCTTCTGATTGTGGTCAATGAAAAATATTCTACCGTTCGGCGCTCTTTGCATACTCCAACCGGGCGGAAGACCTACATGAAGAGAAATTACAAAATCAATTATAGACTGTGTAAAAAAAATCATAGATAACAAACACTATTTACTAACAAGATACGATAAATATTTCTGCATTTATTCTATAGTAGCGACCCAACTCGGCTTCGCACAGGTGCAGTGCTAATACTGAATTTCTCTACAATTTAATAGACGTTTAATAGACACAACTTTAATGGACAGCTTATAAACCATCCACAACAAATATATCTATCTATTAAAAAACCGCATTAAAATCCGTTACGTAGTGTTAAAGATTTAAGCACACATAGGGATAAAAGGACAAAGATAACAACTTTGTTTTACATATACTATGTTGAGCATAAAATGCAGAAAAGTTGGTTCTTCAAATAATCTACACATAAAGGATATCTTTACTCGACTTGGTAATAGAACTCGCCGATGCATACTCAACAAATTCAAGTATTTTTCATCATCATCATATGAAACAATGAAACAATGAATTTATTTTTGCAAATAGGCCATAAAACGGCACTTTTACACGTCAATTTGTATGTGAAAAACTAGATGAAGCCGGCATTTCCTATCTGACTACTCTGAGAAGAAATGCCGAAACAAACTCAGAGGTAAAACATTACCATAATAATATTACCTCCCCCCCCCCCCCCCCCCCCTAACTTCCCCAAATAACTATCCGATCAACCGGTTAGAAACGATCTGCATCCAGGAGTTTCCTGCTACCCTTATAGCTCATTTAAACATTTTGTTTCACCAAATTTCGAGTTTCTCTTTCACCGTTCACCCCTTTCACCCCCCCCCCCTTCCCCTACTTGTACTGTATATTCACCGTCACTGTTGGGCAGGTTCTGACTCTGCGTACTGCTGGCGCTGCTACTCCTTGTACTCTCTGTCGAGCCGTCCGTCTCGTCCTACAAACACACTCCCATGTAATAACTTCAATGGATTTTATACGCTAGACGGGTGGAAATAGAGTCGTAATTATTTTGTACTGTACTGGGAATTGGATGTTGAGATATTCTCATATTAATAATGTCTTTTGTCAGTACAATTATTATGCGTAGTATTTTTAAATGAGCGAAGATGGTGATAAAAGCTAATAAAAAAGTGCAAAAATCGATTTTAAGCCTTATGCGTTAAAAACCTAAAGGCTTTTTCAGTAAAAAATTCATCGCTTTATTAACAATGTGTTCCTTTACAATGTTTACTTATTCCATCAACCATCTAGGCACACTTAAAAACTACAACCTGTATATATAATCTGTGTCTGTGTGTGCAAATATATGCATATTTACATATATCATAGCTGCCTAGCTTACATAGTCTACGATCTGCAAGAAAGCTTCATATATATGTATTCTGTACATAATATGGGTAAAACTCTGACAACCACAGTTAGGTTAATAAAGAAAGAAGGAAAAAGAATAGCTATTTAGATATTAAAAATGATTTCTTTAACTCTATGCCCTGCATACTTCATTAAAAAAGAAATCTTGAATCTACCACAATTTTTAGGGTTGTCAAAGCTTTCTCAATACAACTTCATATTCACTTTTCCCAACGAAAGGTACGAAACTCTGATGAACCTAATTAAAACTTGAAAACCGTCACAAATAAAATCCCCTGTCACGTAAAATACATGAAAAAACACACCAAACCTTACTGTACAACTATGGACATATCATTTCAAATCCGCCAAATATCTACTTGGAAGCAAAAATACATAACTCAAACTACATAATAATAACAAATACTAGATAATACAATATAATCTAAGTTAATAAAGCGGTACAGCACAAGCAAACATGAACATAGGATGTCATACAGATACATTATGATGTCGCATTCATACAATGTTGTATTAGAACGGGAGGTCAAAGCATTCTCAGACTAGCTCACTTCTTTTAAACATTGTGTTATTTTGGCGCGCTTTTCTCACATTTTTTATCTGTGAACAATACTCTATGGTAGCCTTTAAAAAGGTTACAATGTATACCATTCACTGATAATTAATCGTTTGCAGCACAAGCTTGTTTATAAGCATTTCGCGATTTATAGAGGTCCAAACGGAGAGATAATTGCAATATGTATAATATAAGAAGCTATTAATAGATATTTTAAAGTTTAAAGCTCGGTAATTTAAAGGCCTTGTGCTACAAACAGGCTGAGTATGTAGATACCGTTGTCGGTGAGCGCGGCGAGGCCTCGGGTGTTAGTGACGTAAGCAGACATCACAGTAGCGTGTTGTGCCTCACACTTTTTACTCATAGACAATTTCCCAAAGCACTCCGCCGTAGGCCAAGTGCGGGTTGCGACGCAACTATTAACCGTGTACTGTTCATTTAAAGGCTATATTCAAATGCAAAAGTTTTACATAAATTTTGAATCGTTGTGGTAGATTCAATAATGTATTACTCCGCGCTTTTAAATGTTATTAACAATGTGTGCTAGGTATATACAGCAATGTACATATTTACGTATAACTTTCGCCTTAACTTGTGTTCGCGCACCAAATATCGGCTAGATCGCATCGCCTCCCGCACGCGGCCCTCTGGTGTCTTACCTCGGAATCCTCCATCGAGCTGGTGGTGGTCCTCCGCCGGCGATTGGTGGGCGTGGTAACAGGCGAGGCCCCGCCCGTCGGCGTACTGAAGTGGTTCTCATCAAACGTTAGAGCGTCTTCCTCTACTATAACTTCTGCCTGGGGTACAGCCGTCTCTGTCTGAGGTTCAACCGTCTCTGTCTGAGGCGATGCTGTCTCTGTCTCTGCAGCTTCGCTAGCTGTTGTTTCAGTCTCATTCTCAACGACTTCTGTCTGTGTTTCGTTTTCTGTGTCGGCCTCATTGGTTGCGTCTCTTTCATTGGACTCGTGTCCCTCGTTAGCTGTGTTTCTCTCTTCAGGTGTAACGACACCGTCTTGTGTAACTTCTGTATGGTCAGTCGTGTCTGGACCCTCGTCCTGCGGTGTGTCAGTAGGAGGTGTGTTCCCGCCTGCCTCGTCGGCAGTGGTAGTGTTATCAGTTTCATTGTTAGTATTGTCAGTTAGTTCCGCTGTGTCAGCAGCTGTGTTGGCTGCGTCGTGACTAGTACTGGTGTCAGTTTGAGCATCGCCAACGACTTCGTTGGCGCACACAACGTCGTCGTCCTCCTGCGTCGTTTTGTTTCCTAAATTATTATCACAGTCGGTTTCATCACTTATACTATTAGTTTGGTTCGTCACCGCGCTGTCCACAACGTGTGCGACGGGTTCCGGCGATCTGATTGGTGTGGAAAACGGCGTGGGGTCCGTCGAGTTAGTCTCCCCACTTCTATTGCTTATATCCTCCTGTTAGACATTTACATTGGATAATACTTGACGCGTAAACTTATGCGTGCAGTTCGACAAATGTTTGACTGCACGATTAAGTTTGCGCCGACATGATTACGTCCCAGGTAACGTCGGGCTTGTAAGCGTGAAGCATCAATGTGCTGCAGGATTGTCTATGAAAGTGAGGACAACACAGTGGATGCCTATGGAACACCCGAACCGATGAGCACAGACTATCGTCTTATTAGTGTTTGTATGTATGAATGGTTGTCTGAAATTTCCTGAAAGATCTCACATAAAACACATATTGTATTTATAATTTTGACCAAACAACAACTAAAATTTTATGTTAACAATTTTTAATCTAATGGATGATTACACCAATAAGAAAACCTTTCAGAAAAGTGGCCTATGAGAAACCATGTACTCATTTTAAAATTAAAAAGTAACAGTGTTGTAATATAATTTACAATATAAATCATTAGGTCGGCGCCAGACATTTGGAAAGCAAAGCTAAAAAGTAGAAATATGATAAGGCCAGAAATTTTAAAAACTGCGCGAAGCTATAAGCAGTTTTTATAACAAATTCCATTAAAATTGCGCAAACGTGACGTAAGCGCATCAATGTCTGACGCCGCACTTACAATAAATATATGGCACAGGATGGCACATTTTTGGATGTGTTTCGAAGTCAATGGATCACTTAAATTAATGCGAAAAGCGAACATGCAAACATTAACCTATTCATGCGATTTTAAAAGTATTGTAGTACTTACGATCTCAATAAAAAAAGTTATTTGCAACAATATATTTGAGTTATATTTAGAATGGATTGGATGTAGTTAAGCATGCTTTTTATACCCAGTAGAAATATAGATCAGCTGCTGAGTGCAAAGGGAAAATTTATAAAATAAAAAAATGAGTACACGGCTAAAGAGATTTTACTGGAAGTGTGGATATCACAAGATTCCTCACATAATTTTCCCATCTAGAAATCTTACGACAATTGAAGAAGAAAAAGTATAAAGATATCGACACTTCCAGTACACAGAAATATAATGTATCGATGTATTGTTAGTACATATCTATATCGCTGAAGCCCATGCTGCGAAACAAAATATCCACTAACAGAATCTGACTAATACAATATCCTGATAAAAAAGAAATAAAAATATTGTTTAAATAAATAATATCCTCAAACTGGTTCGTCTAAACGCATGCGTCCTGTATATTGCCGATACCGCTACTACTCCATGCAAAAACATTATAAAATACGACCTTAAAACTTTAACATAGAGTCTATATCTGTTTAAATTATAATAGGAGCGATATTGGTGGCAGTAAATATTTGAAACAAGAAACGTCGTCGCATATTGCCGTAATTGATTGATATGAAAGGAAAATAAATATTTATTATGATTAAAATATCGTTTTATAGTCTGTTATATTCGTGACGTCGATCAAATTTCAGTCAGTTTGTTATCAAACTTATCATCTTAAGTTATATTTGTAAACGCCCAGTTGTAATGAGACTATTTGAAGTTGGGGCGGGTCTGCATAAGAGTTTTATTAGAATACAAGAGGCCCCTACCCAGCCCGCGATAAAAAATATACTAAAAGGAATGATAATTGAGCAAAGATTGATATTGCAATTTAATTTATTTTCGGACAGAAATGTCACCGAAAAATATCTGAGCAGGCAACAAGTTCTAATTGAGCCTATTAAAGACTTCGTAAAAAGTTAACCCTCCAAAAATGCGATCTGCAAGTGCATTTGATTGCTATGTTCTTATTAAAAAAAACTCGTACGACATAAGTAACTGCATAACGTGACATTTAAGAAAGCAATACCCATTTAATTTCTGCCTTCATATTTCAAACAAGTCAATCAATTACAGGCAAAAACACATTATAACCCTCTTATATAACTCTAAAAATCCCTATAACAAAAATTCCCTATAAACATAACAGTATAACTGGGTTCAGAGATGGTGGGGGGTACCTGGTGATGGTTCTGTGTATGTGTTGCGGCGGGGCTGGAGGCGAGCTCGTCGTCGGCCGAGATGTGGAAGCGGCGCTGGAACTCCGTCGCTGCTGTCTCCATGCGCTCTGCTTGGGACTCCGAACTCATGTTGCGCCTGCAGAAAGGAAAAAAATGTTCAGCACTTGTTTTACCACCTCCCGATAATCTTGTGTGGCGGATCACAACAACAGCCTATAGGTGTCTCCGTGCCACCACGACGACGTGTGGTAAATATTTCACACAAAATGTTTTTGCCGTGTGAGGCCCAATCCCTACATCCTAGCCCGATCCTTTGCCAATCCTTAAATATCCAAGACCCTTATCCTTAAAAGGTGGACAACACACTCCTAACTCCTTTGATGTTGCGGGCGGCACAGATTGCTTACCATCAAGTTATACATCTGCGCGTTTGCCGACCTATAGAATAAAATAACTTTACTGTACAGTTGACGCGGTGACTTGATGTGTAAGTACTCACGTGAAGGTAGGGCGTCCCCATTGCGTGGACCTCTCGATGTGGTTGACGTAGTAGGTCCTGCCGTTGGCGTCCTGCCGTTCCTCCCAACCCGGCGGCAAGGGATCTCCGCCGATCGCCTGCAACAAAAAATATTCGCAGTTTAAAAATTTTCCGAATACTCTGGCAGTTTTGGACCTTAGAATGAGATATGCATTTATTTTAATTAAACCAAAAATACTGGTATGAAAGTATCTTGTTCCCACATGTAAATTCTCACAACAGTAAATGAGATTGGTATATTGAATTTTATTCAGATTTTACCCAGATCGACATAAAATTACCTAAATATGAAAAGTTGCACATCCTACTGAACGTGCATATGATAGTAACCATCTAAACTTAAACATTTTATAAATATCCATTTTCATTACATATCTATTGTCTTCTGTCTAGAACACACACACACACTAGAATTAAACAAGCAAATACAGACTCTAAAACATGCAGAAAAGGTGCTAAATGAACTTTAGCTTTAACACCAAAAAAGTCAAAGCAAAGAACAAAAAATAAACTTGAATATTTCCATCCACCCTGTATCAAAGGAAAAGAGGATGGGAACGAAATATCAGCGAATTCTTTGAGCGACGTAAATGTTCAAATTTAGTCGCTATTTCAATCGCTTTAAAGTTTATAATAAAATAAAAAGACACGTACAATGGCTAGTGGCGTGCGCTCGACAAGCTCCCAGTCATCGCCGGTGAACGAAGGGACCGAACTGGACACGACCTACCATGAGGTAACCACTACAAACTAAGCCAGAACGTACCATGCAATAACAAACTTTATCTCACTACACTTTAAGCTTAAAGTAGCATGCAACATTATAATAAAAGTTCAGAAATAATAATAAAAAAGGCTGCAGTATGTTCATTTAGGGTTTTAATTTGCTTATGGATAAAAGTCTAACAATCATCGGCACCAGGGTATGAATATTTGATTGATAAATTACCTTGACAGCTTACTTAACAAAACAATGAACTGTACGCACACAGTATGGTAACGCAACCTCTTTCTTCAACTATTTCATAGCTAAAACCTTTCGGTATGTATTATAACTGGCTATAAGACACCAAAATAAATGATGGTATGACGTATCTGTAGCTAATGTTTATTATTCGTAAATTATTTATCTCTGTGGTAACCAAATCTTTCGACATGTAAGTTAATGGGGAATGTCATTAATACGATATTAATTAACTTTACCCACATAAGTTGTACCTTAACCTTATATAATAAAATTTATTATCTTCAAAATTTCAATTTATGGATGACACAAAGAATATTTAGGTCTCGAAGCCAAACTATCAAGGTCTACTTAATACAATCCTTACAAGACTAAATTGCCCAGACCAGTCTAACGTGACCTATGATTGTAGAACAAATTACTTACCGGTTGTACGACACCCTGTTGTGGCGAGGGTTCCACCAGTTCCCAGTCGTCTGAAGGCGCTGGTTCCTCAGCCCCGGCCTCACCGACACGCCCCACTAAAGCGTGGTACACCTCAATGTAGCCACGAACTCTGGACCTAGCACTGGACAGGATATTAAAAACATATCAGTATACTGAACTGAGAGCTGATTAATATACCTTGTTAAAAATATAGATTCTAATCATATAAATCCTTTAAAACAGACCTCAATGAACAGGGATGATGACGGAGTGTGGAAAAGATATGGTCGAATTGAGAACCTCCACATTTTATGAAGTCTGTCAAAAACTTATTTAGTTCGTCGGTAACATTATAGAAAAATATTAGACACGCATTCCTTATACAGTCGTATAAGAAAAACAATATTTAGGGAGGTCGCTACTCAAACGATATTTCAAATCTAAATATGTATGACAGAAATGATTTAATTGTGTTAGAAAAAAAAACGTAAATAATCCTAACTAATATTATAAATGCGAAAGTAACTCTGTCTGTCTGTCTTTCTGTCTGTCTGTCTGTCTTTTCTTCACGCCTAAACTTCTGAACCGATTTCTGTGAAATTTGGTACAGACATAGTTTGGAACTCGAGAAAGGACATAGGATAGTTTTTATTCCAAAAATCTGCAGGAAGTAACTTTTCCACGTGAACAAAGTCGCGGGCAAAAGCTAGTATCGTAATAAAAAAAGTTTAAACCAACTGACGGAAGATCTGATGGAGTAATGTGTCTACGATAGGACATTCACTAGCGTTGACATGGACTTCAAGGTAGACAATCTACACAGGATATTGAAAAACATTTGACTTTGCTCTACTTTCAGGAAGCCAGGTTGACAATGCCCTTTTTAAATCATGCGGATTTTTACACTACATGTACAATACCCAACAAATTTTAGAGCCAATAAAAACGAATGGCAGTTCACGAACACTGGTAAAAATCCGCATAACAGAAAAAGAGCCCTAACTACACATTACATAAAAAAATAGTTCAAAAAGGGAACATTTAAAGGATAGACACTGAAGGAACACCAAATAATACAACACCAACATATAGTATGTTTTAAATCTACTCCAATAAGGAAGTGCAACTTCTTTTCCACGATAGTTTGCATGAGTACACCAGTAAACAACACAGTATTGTCGCAACCAACAAGCTTACTAAAGTTCTGAGGGGCCTCCGGTAACTCTCACTCACACAGCGAAACACAAAGCAAGTGCTTCAGGCACATCGGTATCTGCGAGGCCTTAGTATCACTCCGGTCGAGCCGACCCATTCTTACCGAAGCTTGGCTCTCCCACAATTGAAATAGCCTAGTTCTTGGGTGAATATCTTGAATATCTACTAGGCTGAATATCTTATTCAGGCTGTTTTTTGAAGGGTTCATCTTTAGAAACGTGGCGCTATCAGAATAGGAAGAAGAGTTAGGTTAAAACTGACCGGACACATATAGTTTAACTTTCCTTTGTGTCAACGTGGTAGAAACTATCGTTTTATTTCCTTCTGATTGGTTGAATTACTTAGAGCAGACCAATCAGAGCGCCGAACGTTATAAAAGTATCAAACGTCTTAAAGTAAAAAAAAATAGCACGAAGCATTCAGCGCCATTAAAAACAATTGAGACACTATCAGAAATGAACTGCTACCAGGATTGTTAAACAGTGCTATTTATTGAATGGCTAGCCTTATACAGCATGGCAGGCGGCTTTTTGTTGAGGGGGGAAATCATCGAATTACTTCTCTCGCCTAAGGTGAAGCGAGAGAGAGAAAGTATCTCTTACTGACTAAAAACCACCTAGTTCCTTTTCCCGCTCAAGGCCGAGACCGCAGCACCTTATTGCGCTTGTCCCGCAAATTAATTAGATGGCTAAGGAAGCTGGTCAGCTACGTTTATAAAGGAAATGGTAGAATATAAAACACTAAACTACTTTTTATTTCAACACAACACTTCAAGCACACCACAATAACAGCAGGGGTTCACCAGGACTATTACAAGCTGTACTGGAATTTGGTACCCACCTAAGTAACATTAATGTTGTCCCAGATAGCAGATTTAACTTTAAAAGAAACTTATGTAGGAAGTACTTGTGTATTGAAATATCGTCATTATATTAACTGTCCACTGTTTACTGGCACTTTTTACGGTGCAAATAAAAAAAATCGATATAATTAAAAAAGTATGTTTCAGATTTAGCGCAAAACACGCGCAAATGTTGCGCACAAAAGATGAATTTTCTCACTGTTGAGGTAAAATTTTATTAATGTAATGTTTTTACATCACATTTATAAAACTTTTAGAATACCATAAGCAATACCACACTCAAACACACACACCAAACTGTTGTTAAGATACGACACACAAAAATAAATAAAAATTGGAAAGTATACCTTTTGAGTTAGAACGGGTAGCTAAAATCATTTAAGGACGATTTGTACTGCTATGTAAGATCAAAAATCCTACCGTAAGAGAAACTCCATTTCTTCAAATTAAACTGTTATTGAAATAATTATATTTTACCTCCTACTATACATAATTTGAGCGTACTGATCAATAGTATAGCTGTCCTTGTCTGTTGTAGTGCGAGAGAAAGAGACAGCAAAACTATTAAATTTCCATTGACAAGATTTAAAAGTTGTATCTTATGAGTACAGTACAAATTTCTTAGAACAACAATCTTTGGTACTATTTAAAAACAAATCAACGAGGACAAAACATCAATCTCATTTTTTTTATAATTCATATCAATTTCACGTAACTATGATTATCTACTAATATTAATAATCGTACGTTATTATCATTACACTTCCCAGAATGCTGAATGAAAGATAATAGGCAAAGGTATTTATTTACCTAAATGTATTATGAGTAGGAATTTCACACACATTTTTAATTAGAAAAATTTGTAATGATTTACAAAACCAAATTGGTAAAATCACTGATAGACAAAGACAGAAGATACTACATGGAACACAATAATTAATCATTTTTTCCTTAAGTACAAATCATCCTTCAGCTAAAAAATAGGGAGAAAAAAAAATACGAAGCTCACGGCATGCTTAGAGCATTACTTACACAGACCTGCGCGGGCGCAACGGGTACTTAACGACGTTGGGGCGGGCGGAGGCCGCCGTCTCCGTGGGCACAGAGGAGAGGGGCACCTCCACCATGCCCAGGAAGTCATCCCTAGTGAGCCGGTTCTCATCGAACACTTGTATCAACAGCTTGTGCTCTGTAGGTTTTACCTGAAGTTAAAAACAACAGCAATTAGTCTTTACATTAAGTATGTGAAATTGTAGAAAAATACGTATATCACGTATTTTTCGTTATAAGGTAAACCGTCTGAAATTAAACTTGTTCTTTTTTCCTTAAGATTTGCGTTGTGAAAAACTATAGTTGTAAAACAATCCACCCAAATCTGAGAGGTGTGTAAGGCACACAGGCAATGAACATGAATATACATAGTTGCGGCGTGTTATTTGCACTAAATTGGTTACATTTAAAAAGTAATACAATAAAAAAACTTACCCTGAATACAAACTCCTGATTCCATGTGGGATTTAATGTCTGAAATAGAAAAACACACAGACATAAAATACAAAAGTTTACTAAAAACTTCAACATTCATCTTTTTATGGGATATGACGCTAAACGACAGCACTGATCACCTGATGGTAAGCAAACGGGCGCCGGATAAGTGCGTTACCGGGCTATTGAGGTTTAGCATTCTGAGGATTGAGAGGGGATTACCTCCGGTAGCCACACTCAAATAAATTAGGAGAGGTACAACGCAAGCTTTGGTTCAAGCCAGTGTTGTTTTTACTATTCCAGTCAAGCCGGCCATTCTTGCCCAAGCATGGCTCTCAAACACGTTTTGTGTAAAGAAAGATTTTTAATTAAAGAAGTCAATTTATTTTATGCTTTTTCTATCTACCATGCCTGAGAGAGAAGGAAAAGTGTGCCATAAAAAAGTCTATAAGTATGTATGGGTGTTGGAAAATCCCCCATAGCTAAAAAAGGAAATAAAACAGTAAACAAAACACACCTTTTTCTTGGTTTTAGTGATGAACGTATCAAGGGTGACATCACCATCGACCTTCTGCAACTCCACCCGAACATATGGGTCACTGGAACATTAGCAATACACATAATTAAAAATTATTCACAACTAAAGGAGAATATCACTATTTTACTTTTAATTTATTTATGTATATACAAAATTAAAAAGTTGGTTCATTTTTATGGGGTTCTGTGTAAATTGTTACAATAAAATTCCAAGTAATGTATTGAATCTTAACGAACGAAAATTTAAAACTTATATTAAACGCGAATTGTGTAGACAGGCATACTACAAACTTTCAGATTATATTGAGGATAAGAATGCCTGGCAGCGTGTTGATTCGGCTCCACTGGACAATACTTATAGTCAGCAGTTAGGTAAAATCCTCAAAAATAATGCATCCTTAATTTATATACATATCCAAAAAGTTTATATAGAAGCACTCTTAAAGATTGTGAGTACGCATATGTTTTTTTTTTTTTTTGTGAGGGGAAAATCATCAAATGGCTTCTCCCGCCCAGGGCCGGGCAGGAGGGAGTGTCAGACTCTTACTGACTAAAAACCCCCCTGTTCCTTCTCCTGCTCTGTGCCGAGGTCGCGGTACCTCATTGCGCTTACCCCGCAACCCCGGCTGAACATCAGCCCTTTAGGGCCCCGTCTGTGGTGGTCGAATGGCTCTTTGAGGCGCGCGCGGAACGCTACGCGCCGTACGCTCGGGCCTGGTTCTGGTCGGGCGGCGAGCTGCCCTTACTCGCCGACCGCAGGCCCGTACTTACGGTGGCCGGAGATCGTCCCTCGATCCCCGACGCCCGTAGTGTCGCCAGTTGCGGCTGCTGGGGCGCGAGGAGGAGGATTGCTCCCTCACGCGGGCCGCCTCTCTCTTTGCGAGCATGACTGCTTCACAAAAGGAGGAGACGGCGTCCCAGTTCCTCTCACTCCGCACCATGGCCTCGACTAAGGCCGGGCGCGAGAGGTCGCCGCCGCCGATCACTTCCCTGAGGATACGGCGGTGCTCAGCCCAGGCAGGGCATACCGCTACCGTATGCTCCACCGTATCCTCTAGGTGGTCCTCACAATGACGACACTCGGGCGTTTCCTCCCGCTGAATCCGAAACAGGAACCTACCGAAGCTGCCGTGCCCGGTAAGCACCTGCGTCAGACGGAAGGTGAGGACGCCGTGGCGTCTCTCAAGCCACTCCTCAAAGAGGGGTCTTACCGCTACTATGGTAGCGTGCCCGGCCCTCGGTTGCGACAGTCGTTGTCTCCACTCTGCCATGAGATCTCGCCGGAGCTCATTCCGCCACGCACTTATTTGGCGCGGCAGAGGATCTTCGCCTCGGCGACGCGCGTCTGCGCGCAAACTGTAGACGCGCGCGAGCGCCTTCGCTTCTAGATCCCACGGCGGTGATCCGGCAAGGAGGTTCGCCGCCTCCCCGGAGATCGTGCGATACCCGCGGATTACTCGTATAGCCATGACCCTCTGGGACGCGACCAGCGTACGAGCCGGCCGCCGCTTCAAGTCCGGCGCCCACACAGGGGCACCGTAGAGGGCCATGGATCGCACGAGTACGCATATGTGAGGACCATGTTCGAGACGACAAAGGAGTAAAATTTTATGATAGGTCCCCTCATTTGTTCTTTTTTTTTTAACAACTTGTCTCTGTATTGTTCTCACATAAGGGTACAATAATGTTTAATGTTTTTCAATAATATAACATTTATAGTATATGTTATATTATTGAAATTGTAAAACAATTTTTTTTTAAAGAGTAACGAATGGAGTTTCTTGCTCGTTCTTCTCCATTCGAATCTACAATTTGGAATGAGCACCTAGCTTCACTGACAAACAGACTGACAGACTACTTCTCTATTTTGACGTTTCTAAAGTACCTATTTATGGTTTAGTTGGAATAAATGATTTTGACTTTGACTTTGATGTGCCTTTTGGCATTCTCTACTAGTCAACCTTTGGGTACGGTGATTTCTAATCAGCAAAAAAAATTGAAAAAAAATCTTTTTAGATAGAAAGATAAGATTCATAATAGTATAATAAAAAGGTTACAATTTAGCTAATTTAAATCATAATTCATAATTATTGAGGAGTAAATCACAACTTTCTACAATTCAATGTTTTTCGAACTATGATAATTCTCTGGTGTTGTGGGAGCAATTTTTAAAAACAAAGTAGCGACCCCGGCCCGGCTTAACACGGCAGCAATAATTATACAGGTACTAAAATTATCCAGTATTTATTGGATATTATTATCATCGGTAAACCACAAAAAGTATTACTACTACAAGTTTCCACGTCTTCGCACGCGTATTAAAGTGATAGCAAATCAAGTTAGTATAATTTATAGCCTTACAGCATTCAGGAAACATTGTACCTATCCTATCAGTGAAAGAATTTTCGAACTCAGCTGTTCTAAAGATTGCTCCATACCACATATTAATATCCGTTGTATAGTTCTAAAGATTTAAGCATACTTAGGGACACGGGGACAGAAAAAGCGACTTTGTTATGAAGTCTGTAGTAATACAAGCTTGGGCATTAGGTTTATCTCATTTACAAAAATGTACACAAGATTTAAGCGGAGACTAACCTGAATTGCTTGTAAATATCGTATACCTATTTATCCTCTCAATAAATATGACATTCAAACATCATTCGGCACGCACCAATATAGGACGTTACTATTATTAGTTTGACATTCTTTGTATTCGAAATAGAGCAGGGTAGTTTCAACCCAGTCGAATTCAATACTTTTACGAAAAAGTCAAAAAACAACAATTTTCTTGTGTCATTAGCCTAATCCTAACAGCACTTTGTGACGTCATAGCTCAAATAATATATGTATGTCTCTTAATGATATTATATATTAACAGATATGTTATAAGCACGCAAAAGTGAAGACTAGAAAAGGATACAACTGTATGCAAGTGCAATTAGTCTCTCTTAGAATAATGTTTGTTTACGTTGAGTACGTAATTGATAACAATAGCTAATTCGTTTTTTCTTGTTCGATTTATCATACTATCCTTTTTCTGCAATTTTAACTTGTAGTGACATGTACAATTAATGAATGGTATGTGAGTATGCTCACGCTTGGCGCGGAACACATTTTTCGTGCGTTTTGTGAGGGTATAACATATCTCTGTTAAGCTATAATATCATTGATGTCTCTTAAATTATCTACAAAAATGCGAAAAAATGCGAAAGTTTGTCCACCACATTGTGACCTCATCTACGGAAATTATACCGCTTAGTCGCGGAAATTAAATTGTATTTAAGGAAATTATATTCTACGCCATAAATTAAATAGTTAAATTTATTTAATATTTTTTTATAGATAACATAGTTTTATAGCAAATAGGTTGCTTAATTCTTTCTGTCAAGCAATTTCACGTATTGCAACAAATTGACCAGCAGAAAAACAGCAGAACTGAATACAAGTAATTCCCCAGCGGTATTTAAACAAAAGATGAACAATAATTATTCCACTAACTCACAGACTTACAACTAATCATTGTATATAGGTACAAAATCAAAATACAAACACGGTCCTATAAAAAAAAGGGTAGTAAACGTGTCTTTAATTTTACTATAAGTATCTTGTAGAAAACAATTTTCCTTTTTGCCCCCAACACTAGAATTTTCTCTCGTGTAGTGGATGCACCACCCAAACCTAACAACAATTTGTGGATCAAACAAAGAGTGTTATGTGCATATAAGTACTAATGTGACGATGCCGAGTTATATGTACTTTCTATGATTATTTAGGCACAACTGACATACGGTGAAGAAAAACATAGTGAGGAAACCTAGACTTATAATTCCTAATTATAAATTTGAAATCACCAATCCGCCTTGAGCAATCGTAGTAGTTAATGCTTAAAGCTTCTCCCTGTGAAAAGAGGTCTTTGCTCAGCAGTGGTCACTTATTGATGTGATAGGTAGTAAAGTACTTAGATTAAAAGACAGCAAGATCTAAATTATCTGAAAGAAGCAATTATAATAATAATTCCCCCGGTATATCAGTCGATTGGTATTTACAAGTGGTCTTATCTGCGAGTATCTGTATGATGTAGCAGATTTTATGGATTTCGATGTCGATGAATTGGACTACGAGTATCTTTGGACGACGAAAGTACCTACGCAATAAAGCGATTTTGTAGAAGGTAAATGTTGAATAAAGATGAAGGGAGTCATTCCTCTCTCACTATTTCGGCTCTTTAACTCTTTGAACAGGGTTTGGTCCAATAGGGCCGAAGTTCACCTGTAACCGACCAGGAATTGGAGGAGAAAAGAGATGGTTTATAATTGTCAGTAAAAGTCTGATTCTCCCTCTTACCCCACCGAGGGCGAGAGAAGAAATTTGACGACTTTCCATCTTCATAAAAAAAATTGGACTATGTCGCTGTATACTTGGATAAAGGGACAGATATTTAAGTAATCAAATAACATGACACTAAGTAAGTACTTAATTCTCCAAAGAAAAGAGAATATTTCCTTACAATATTTTGACAAGTTTGATCTTTATTTTTTAGATCCATGGGAAGACTTTATAATGGTCCCCTTTGTCTTAAAGGACAAATTGGAATGTCGGACAAATGCTTTAATAAAAACCCTACACCCCAATATGATTGATTTCTACATATTAAAGAACACGGAACCCGAATACTTCCGTATTCCGTAAAGATAAGACAATGATAGCATCGTAAACAAAACACCTATACATGCATCCTAAAGCCGCAAAGGACCTGAACGAAAACGTTAATCTTAGACTTTGGCCCCAGTTAGATCCGGTTAGACAACTAGTGCACCATACACTGCGTTTTAGTCCGATTACATTTATTCTTATAGGTACATAGATAAGTCAGCAATGCGATGAATAAGCAGCCAACTATTTAGGGTAGGATTAGTGTTAGGTGACATTTTTCTTCCGTACACGGCACAATTTTTGCCCGTTTCTCTAGAATTATCGTAAGAAAATAAAGTGAAAAATAATTATTATCTTTTGCTAATTAACGCTTTTTTTGCAATTAACTGAAAACAATTAAGGTAGTAAACAAGCTCAAGTGTTACGAATAATTTATTGAAACTCCTAAGCTACATCTTACATGTATGTGTTAACAAAATAAAGCATTTTACACATAAACAACTGTTCTCACATCATTGAACCAACTGTTTGTAAAAGGAATCTTAGGTATGTGAAACTGATTTAAAAAGAGTAGCCGTGGAGTTTCTTGCTAATTCTTCTCCATCGGGATCTACACTTTGGAACAAGCAAATAGATTCACTAAGAGGACTGGCCGACAGACTGACACTATATCTTCAGAATTTTGTTTGACGTTCAGTGTCTGTAAGGGTCTAATTGGAATAAATGATTTTTGACTTTTGACTTCTTTACTTTTATTTATACCTACAAAATATTCAACACCTGCCTAAACATCCAAACAAAATTATGATGATGATTAAAAAAACAGTTTTTTTATAATCTAAAATAGAACTTATAGGGCTGTGTTATAGGGTTAAAAATAAGAGTTCTATTTACTAATGAAGGGGCCAAGTAGTGTGTAGAAAGTCGTCAAACCTTAAGTAGATGGTATGAGGTTGTAATACCCGCGGCACCCACGCTCGTGCGTCTAACGTAATTTCGTGGACGGTCAACTCGTAGGTAATTAGTGTCGCAGTGACCGTTATGTATTCCATTCGTTTTTCACTAATTACGGACTTTTCATTGTATGTTTTGACTTCCTTTACGTTTGTTCACCTAAAGTATGACTCCTTTTTCTAATATATTAGAAGTGGTTGTATCAGACGAGGTTGCGGGCGTAAGCGCAATGATATAGGTACAGAGTACAGAGGGCCTACCATGACGTATTAAAGTGCCAATGTTCCGGGCGAGAAATAGGGATGGAGCTATAAAAGGTGTATAGCTCCATCCCTCTTTCTCGCCCGGTCATGGTAGACCTACAGGGCAGGGGCAGGCAAAGGTACAGGGTGTTTTCAGTCAGAAAAAGTCTGACTCACTATTTCTCCGGCGCTCTATCGGCTAGAGAAGTAGATAATTTGATGATTTCGCCCCGCAAAAAAAGTAGTAACTATAATATGTATGTCCCTACCTATAATATGTATGTATTTTCTAGCAGGTACTTAAAAAAATAGCCTAAATTGCGGGTCAAGCGCAATAAGGTATCGCGTTGTCGGCCGAGAGCAGGACAAGAAACGGGGGTTTTAGTCAGTAAGAGTCTGACACACCTTCTCGCTATACTCTAGGCGAAAGACATAATTAGATGATTTTCCCGCCTCAAAAAAAAGGCACTAAAAATATACTATCGCCAAATTCTATTATTCTATTCAAGACCACGTACCTATTGCTAAAGGTTAAAAATTAGGTTATTAGAGAATTAATGGGTCAAACTGAGACCTTGTCCTTATCAGTCACTTGGACAATAAATGCAGTCAACATTGTTAGGTACTTCGTAAAACAATTTTTCTTATCTACATAAACAAATACACAGAGCATTTTTCAAAACGAACTATTTATATGTACGACAAACTGCAGTATACGGATTAGCAGTCAATCTATTTATTATAAGCAATAGGTATTTAATATTCAAATCATTTCCTTATATCCATTTCCAATGACTATCGAAATTGTCAGTCTAAAATCAGAATACCTATGGGCAGTCGGCGATTGTATGACGGAATCAATATTAATAAAGTAATGAGTCACCGTGATCTCGGCAGCGTCCATCAATTCTGTGGCAATTGACAATCAAGGCAAGCTGGTACGTCTGCACCGAATCTCAGCGTTCTACAGATCATGTCGTACGTGATTTTAAGATTCATATTTGTATTATATTAGAAATATATGTTACTAGTTGTAAAGAATATTATGTTTTTACTTATAAATATGCTTAAACATGTATGCCAACAAGCTCTGGAATAAGGTAATTTACTTAGTCAAATTTAAGTAATTTTTACTTTACAACACATCAAAATATCGTCAATTTTTTCAACTATTTTATAATGTCATTGAGTTTGAAAAATATGACGTCATAAATTTATAATTAATAAAGTATTCTTTTCATCATATGAATTTCAAATGTCTTAAATGACTGTCTTTTTAGAAAAGAGAAGTGTGGCCACGGGCGATTAGCAAGGTCGTAAATACAAAACATTAGTGTTGGCATGGAATTTCGAATTGTGAGATGGCAGTGAGAGTATATAGTCATAAGCTTACCTCTCTTCAAGTGATTATTTGTTATAAGGATTTCAAATGTTACGGTTCGCTAGCATTTTGGTTTAATACTAAATAACTATTAAATTTTACAAAAAAAAAAAATTATATTATAATGGCCGTAAATAGGTATGTATGTTTAAAAAAAGCGAGTTCGAATTTCGAATGACATTCGAGAATATCATCGGAATAAGATGGCGGCGACTGGAGAGGATTTTTAAAGGGTTGTGATTGTGATTTTTATGTAAGACTGTGTTCCTCTTTTTAGGATTAATAACCGTATACAACTAAAAAAATACTTAATATTCTTATTGTTAAGTTCTAAATCACAAAATTAATCTCAAATCCAAACCCACAGGTATCACACTTCCGAGACCTTGTTAAATCGTACTAAGCACTTATAATGTTTACATAAAAATTATGATTAAATATATAATTTGAGTAGACAAACATATAACGTGCGTGGATCCTAGAAACATGTGTCGACTTCGCTGAACGCGTAATACATGAACCGAATATTACTCATGGGGTGAAAGTCGATTAAGTAGTTGTAATTACTTTTGGTATGTGTAATCTATATCAAGTTATGCACCCGTTTTGAAAATTGTTTTAAAAATTTAAAATAATCATCAGAATATATCAGCCACAAGATTTTGAATCATTAATCAACATAATACGGTAGTTTCCAACTAGTCAAATTCAATACTTTTATCAAAATGTCGAAAACGATACTTTTCTATGAAATTTGTATGAAAAACTGACTTTGACATCATAGTTTTTTTTGCATCAAACAGTTTACTTTTCTTAAAATTTGCTAAAAAATATCTAAAATTCAGTGTATCGATCGATCACCAATTATTCATCATAAAAGTTTGTTATTTTCAAAATTGTATGGTATTGAAACGTCGAATTAATTTATTTTTGACCTAGGATACTACCCAATTGTCCTTCCTTCATGACTAATAATAATTCTTCAATGAGCACCTACCAAATCGCTTTTGTTACATTTTTATAAGTCTGTGCAATACTAATAGAAACAAGAGAAGGGTTAGACCGGACCTTCAAGAATTTCGTTATAGCATGACGCCTGCAAATTCACCAGGAACAACTCAATTAGGACTTCCTGTACTTCTGTACTACATGACACCCCTTAATGGGTTTTATTGTAATCACGGTGTACCCGTCCCATAAATAATCACATTCCAAATTTTAACATAGTAATACTACATTTTTACACAATTTTGAATCCATTTTTAAAATTTCCGCATGTGACGAAATCACTGACGTCACACAAACAAATAAGTAACGTCTAATGAAATCGTGGAATGGTTTAACTGTTTTGTCCTGACGTAGGTCACATCACATTTGCCTTAATCAAATACAACTATAGGTAAGTAGGCTCATAGATTTTAAGTAAAAAATGTAATTATCTTTCTCAAAAGTATAATTTAAAGTTCTTTACTAAGACGCTAGTGGAGACTACAACTAAGTATCTCTAATAAGCACTCGCAACACAAGCGACCTCTGGTTTATGAAACCAAACAATGACAGTTGACTACCATATTTTTAGAAACTCTCTCATTTTTTTTATTGGTAATCTATCACCAGGTTGAGCCAGTAATTTTTTGTGACATTTAAATTTAAATTGTAGATCATTTTGCCCCACAAGGATTGTGTATGCCTAAGATTGGTTGCTCCTGTACCCATGTTTAATGCACTATAAAACCAATGATGCATTCATCTCTACTAAATAAATATTTAATTAAACCTGCGTACTAAGTTGCTTAATCAATTATACTTATAAGGAAAAAAAATTGAAAACTTACCTAGCACCAAATATATCCTTTTTAGCCAATGAGTAAGCTCCTACAATCCTTAAACGAAGTAGGAAGCTATTCTCATCAGTCTGAAAAGAAAAACAAACAGGTTTAATTATAATGATCAATATTCAATTTTTTACAAAAGTGGTGATCTCTGATTGGCGAGCAGGAGGTTGCCGATCACAGTTCAAATCCCGAACCGGATAAAGTATGATAGGAGGTTTTCATCATCATCATCATCAGCATATATGTGCCCACTGCTGAGCAAAGGCCTCTTCTCACACGGAGAAGGTTAGAGCGTTAATCACCACGCTTGCTCAATGCGGGTTGGCGATTTCAAACTTATAATTAGAAATTATAAGTCCAGGTTTCCTCACGATGTTTACCTTCACCGTATGTCAGTCGCGTCTAAATAATTATAGAAAGTACATATAACTCGGAAAAAGTCACATTGGTACTTGCCAGGTTTGGAACCCAAAAAAATCAAATCTTAGTTAAATTGCTGATGTAGAGGCCGATGGATGGCGACGGTGTCGCCCTCTATTAAATGGGTCACAAAGCAAAACTAGATTGTGAAAAGTTGTTCCCATGACTGACTTTGTATTATATATGTACATTGAATACCTATGTATACGGATTAAGAGTTTCAATAATTTTATTACTAACTAGATGAAAGAGATAGATGATTACAACTTCGTTGCGCCTCAATATTATTTAATGTCTTCTGACCTTTTAAACCTTCCCTAGATTTCTATGAATATGTCCAGACCAAAATTAACCAAACCGGACCAGCTGTTCCCGAGATTTAGTGAGACTAACATTTTTATATAACTTAGATATATAGACGTTAATGAAATCAACAATTAACAAACAAATTACAATATCTATCTTTACTAATGTAATAAAACTGTCATTTGTCTCTACCTCAACTATGATTTAAGTACATTAAGTACATTTGAACCTATTTGCACTATCCCTTCTTGCCTATTGCTCACTTAATGACACTTAAAAATAGGTAACGAAAGAGCAATTTACAAGAAATAACTTTCATTAATTACAATAAACTCAATCAAATGGGAGAGCATGAAGCATTAAGTCTGCATAAACCAATTTATTTGTATTAACTTTGATAACAACATATAGTAGAGAAACCATTTACATAATAGATAGAAATATTAGCCTGTACAATATTTCCTCGAAACTTTCACAAAAGGAATAAGTATTTATTATATGAGTATTTATTACTAATTTATTGTACACCAGACTTCCACATCACCCATCCCCAGGTTTCTTTTAAATTTCTTTTAATTTTGTAGTTACAAGCCTTTGTAGAATTTTTAATAATGTGTACAATAAAGTACCTATATATGAATGAAAATAAATAAATAATAAGTCAAGTTTAGTCCCTAGAGACTAGGACAATGCTATTAACAATATTTTAGACCACAACAAGACTACATAGCCATGCATTACCTAATTACATTATGTAAATAAAAACATAACAGCTTTGGGATTTCAATGAAACATCAGACAAGCTAACCTAACCTTTCAATATCTTTCATTGGATTTTCGACTTTATGTCCAGACGATAAAGTTGAATTTAATAAAGAAATTTGATGGAAAGGAGAAGGTAGATATTAGTCTGCACAAAAGTAACGCAAATTAGGGTACGCCTACGCACAAGGCGACTAAGCTAATCTCAAGACAGGTCAGATGGAAATATATGCAAAAATTAGTTCAACAGTTCTAGCTAAGGAAATTGATACCTTATTGTGAGTACAAAATACAATCGAATTGAGAACCTCCTCCTTTTTTTGAAGTCGGTTAAAAAGAAGACATTTGCTATGTACATATGTAAACATAATAATATGTGTAGCAATTAGAGGTTGGAAACAGTATAATGGTAATAACCATTTGTGTAAAGATTAAAGAAAATGTCCAAACATGACCAGATCTACTTTAAATCTTAATAGTATTGAGCTACAATAATAAAATATTATGTACATAAATTCTGTTATAAACAAGTGCTAGCATACCTATAACAATATAATCTATGTCATTAAATATTCATAATATAACAAACACAACCCAGAGACTGATGACTCATCATATTAATAAGTTTTGTGATGCACTATACTCGTATTAACAATTAATTCATTCTTATCCCAATGCACTGGTTTCAATGTCTAAGGACTGCAGAACCAGGAAGCTATTATGTAGGGAGGACATATCCTTTCTTTTATAACATTAGAAAAAAAAACTGTTTTTTTTTTTAAATAACTGAGCCCCACATTAGGATTTCTACTGTGTCATGGATGCATTTACACACATACATAAGCCAGCCAGACCCTAGACCACAATTGGTGGATCACACAAAGTGTTGCTTCATGCTGGAATTAACACAGCACAGCAGCTAGTTGCCCAACCATACCACCAATCATGCAGTCAAAAATTAAAAAAGATTACTTGTTTCTCTTAGGTTACAAGGATTTTTTTCTGTAATGTGGACGTGTTCACAAACATACAAATACACATATACAAGCAACCCAGATGGAAAAGAACAATTTGTGGATGCACCGTACCAAACAGTCAATCACACTATAACTATTTATCAATGTCACAATATAACTATTTATCCTGCTTCCTTCTATATCTTACTATCCTACTAATATTGAAAATCCTACTACTATCCTACTTACTATTATAAATTTCAAAGCTTGTGAGAATGTATGGATGTATGTTTGTTACTCTGTAATAGGTATAAGTAATAGGTATAAGATAACAATAGTTCTAAGAATAATATATATTAATATTGTAACATGATCCTAATATGATATAGTTCTATATTTGGTAATTGAGGTTGTAATAGTATCTAAGTATAAACAATTGAACCTGAAGCCTAACCTACATACCATAAGGGGCAACAACCTATGACATCATCTATGTACCCGTACTATGACATCATCCCTGTAAACCCTAATCACTATAAAAGGGGTCCATTAATAAAAATAAAGTTAGTCTTATAACCAACTTCTTGTGTTTAATTACTTCCTCGCGTACCGCTATCACAACTCAAAAACTGATGAACCAATTTGGTTGAAATTTGGTATGTTGATAGGTTATACCAGGTTTAACAGATAGGCTACTTTTTGTAGATAGAAGATTTTAGATTTTTTTTAAGATTTATAGATATTATGAAAAATCTTTCTCTTGTACATCTTTGTTAGTATGAAAGAATACCTTGGAGAAACAGAAATACTCTGGGCAACTATGAATGTGTTAAAGCAGGAAAAAGGAAATTGTATTGGTTTTTAGAATTAAATACATTGTATTTATAATAACAATATATCCAATTTCCTTTTCAACACTTTGAGATAATTTAAAGTATGGTGAATAGGAAATAACTAAATTTTTCATACAATATCAACACCTTATGTATGTTCCATATGATAATATAATGTATGGACTCAATAATCAACACAGAAAAATCACAGTTCCTAGAAAATTTTAGTAAGTTTTATCTTTAATCATTTATCAAAAATTATACATAATGAGGGTAGAAGTTAATTACTGTTTCAATTAGATAAAACATTAGACTGTTTCCAAAATGTTTATACACAAACAAAACAGTTACATATTCATCAATTTCTATAATTTAAATTAAACAATTATATTGGTGGTCTTCAGGCGGTCAGATGTTTATTCATTGGCAAAGTCACTTGATATGACTACGAAAATAAGCATTTATTGCATATGATTTTAATTATTATGAGAATTGCTATGCTTTTGAAATATATTTTACAACATAGAATAGAAGAGAAATACTTTTTAGTTAGAATAATTTTACTAAATTACCCATTCATTTATTGAAATATTTTATTTCTACTATTTTATTGCTCACAGAAATAGTGCCTCTTGATAGGGTTCCCTATAATAACAAAAACCCATTTTAATAGGAAAATAAAATTAAATTTCTATACAATAAATTTTCAAATGCTTAAAATCTTTGTCTCATAATTTGTACATGATGCCAAGGGGACATTGAACTGAACTAAATTATAGCAATTATCTGTGTAAACCTCTTTGGAGATGCATTAACCATTCACTAATAATGACAATGGAATAATAATTAAGAGTTTTTGGAGTGATAACAAAGCTGAAGTGCCACTTCCTCAATATTAATTGATAAAGCTGGTACTGTTGAGAATGGGACTTTTTGCATTCATTGAGGTAAATATGCATCTTGTTGACACATGTTTTGTACTAAGATCATGACCAACTGTCAACACTATTACTTGTATAAGCCTAAAACATAGTCTGACAAGAAGAATAGCATGAATTGTAACCGTGTTAGCTGCGCTATGCACGTAACATCAAGTTGAAGGGCAAATCTTATTAGGCTAAGCCATACACCACCAATACTATGACCAAACTTCATAACACAATATTGTCATACAAAAACGCAAATGAATAAATTAAACCACCTCGTTCCGCAAAATAAAACGCATTAAAATGTTAATCGTTCACAAGGACGTCTAAGTATTACCGATAAATAATATGAACTCATAAGAAATACAAGTTTGTACTAATAAAGAAATTATGCTTTTTCAACTTACAAGAGTGTCCGACTGCCAAGCCATCACCCATGTGAAAATATACTAATAATTAAATAAAATTAGACACGATTCACATTCCTATAGCGACGTATCGGTTGAAAACAACTGTTTGTAAAATAATAGTGACACGTTCCTTTAATTGTTATTCGCCAATATTATACAGTGTCTTCTACAGGCTATCACCATTAGTTACACTTATTAAGGCGACAATATAAAAATCTAAACACCAAAACTGCAACAATTAACTAGAAATACGTGATACACAAATAAAAAAACTAAAATATCACGGGGGATAATAATTATTTTCTGTGACAGGCTGTGCATGACAGTTAGTCGTGCGGTCCAGTTCACACTTTATTTCAAAGCATTGCCTTTGTGTTTTCTCTTTCACTCTTAAAGTAGAATACATTAGAAGAACGAACTAATGCTTATAAATCTAAATTTATTGACCGAAGTTCTGTATTTTCAAATGAATCATTTGCGCAGTACGTTTCATTTCGCGCAGCAAAACAAAAGTAAAAATAAGATGTGCGTAGCGTATCAAAATATTTTAACAAAAGGCTATTTTAAAAAAGAATAATTACAATATTGTTTTTTTAAATAGCCTTTTCAAGAAGGCTTTAATTTCAAATATTACATTTATAAAATACAAAATTTGCTTATAAATAATAACTACAAGGAAATCTTAGAAAGCTGACTTGAAAAACAGTAAGTATTTCACTACCTAACATCACTCTTTCTTATCATTTTTATTTTAATCGTGTCAAAGATTAGGCTTTAGAAATATTTATATCTTTAATCCTACTCAAACAACGAAATCATGGGTACCTGATATTGTAATGAATATCTTGGTTCATGTCTTGAAAAACCGTTTTGCATATACCGCAGGGACCAAGACGAAGATCTACTCCTCTGTGGCCTTTCTGCCCCGCTGGGCAAATCCAAGGGTCTTACGTTTTGCATCGACATTATAGTTACGGAAGGAGGATGTATCATTTCGCACAAAAAACGATAATACACTGCACCATCACTGCTCTAGGTTTATTTTTTACATTATCACAATAAAACGTTACGTTGATTTACAATGTTCGCTCTCTATAAGATGTAGAGGTGGCGCTGTTGTGAGCCATATGACACTGTAATCTTATCAGGACAAGAAACTGGTAAGATAAAAAAGTGTACGTTTACAATTAGCGTTTCTGTGATAACTTTATTCGGCCGAGTCATGTGAAACGCAGCCGATTAATGAAGGAATTTTCACTAAAGTATTTGTTTGATAACGGTACCTATCAGTCATTATGTTCAAAATGAATGGTTTTGTTCTCAGCGTCTCCGATCTATTGTTACAATGATGACGAGGTGTTTGCAACGTGTGTTTGTTACTTATTTACTTTGTATGTGTGCTACCTCTATGTGCTAAATAGCTGAGAGTAGGTCACAAGAGACAAGCAACGTGAGGCGCTCGTAATTGTTGAAATAGAAGCTGGTTTAAGAATTTGGTCTAGAATAAAGAACTACTCATTTGTATTACTTCCTATTTAAAAAAAAATCGTTAGCTTTTTGTTTTTTAATCAATGAAGCTTTCGTTAGTTTTATAATTTAATTACTTTCTTCGCAGTAACTAGGAAGGTAGACCAAAATTATTATAGGTAGGTAACTATTTATGATTCCAGATGATTGACAGATCTAGAAAAAACGCTTTAAACCAAACAAACTTTTGATCAGCTCAGACCAGCTCAGCAGGTAGAAATAGAGGTAACATACGTACTAATCTTATTTATAATACCTACATTTTATATTAATGTTCTACTATTCTATTTCCTTGATGAGTTGTTTACTTATAGAAGTTCATGGTCTTGAATTTATTACAAATATCTGAGTGATTAAAGTATAGGTGATAACGAGTAACTTATTGACATTGTTAACTAATCTTTCATTATACTACCTACAGGTAGCACCAACGCTGACGAATCACTACATGGTAAGACGGTTGCGTCCCTTGTCCCGACGCCGACTACAGACAGATACGCAAAATGACTTGCGGCCATCACCCTCAGGGAGCTCTTCTCAAAAACAACGAGGCATTGATGCTTGATGTGCATCCATATTTCTTACTAGATATGAGATGAATCGCAGCAAGATTTCTCACTATCTTCACGGTGGTATTTTGTGGGTTGTGGATTTTCCACGGAGGAAGCAGTCTGTTTATGGAAGTTCCGCGTGTATTATGTGCCTAGAGGTAGATTCTGCGTACGAAAAAACAAGTAAATTCAGTTTATTAGATCCCTATTTCCTTGTTATTAGATTGTATGATTGATGCAGTGGCTGGACAACTAGCTGCTCCACTTAGTACCTACCACAAGTTCGATTCGCGCATGGAACCTCTCTTTGCTTACCTAATTTATTAATTGTTGTTCCAGGTGTAAGTGTGATTTGTAGGTACCTATGCATGTTTGTAATTTTTATATAGTGGTACTGGTGATGCCATGTTATAACAAAAAATCCTAGTGTGGGGTAACATTTGAAAAAAATATTTGTAGAATATCATTACGAAACATACGGTGACGGTGTGCTCTGCTTAGACTGAGACATGACTGCTCATGTCCGGCCCAAGTCCAAGCTATGGTGCAGTGGTGGTGGAGAGAGTGAACCCGACTCCTCCTTCAAGTCATGCTCACAAAGACATAACCGCTTTAGGGAACTACCCTGCTTACACCCCAGCCGCCACAGGAGATACCCCGCGCGTCAGGGACCGCACGACTATTTCCGGCCACAGTCGTCATGGGGCCGTGCCCGCGCAAGCCTCAAGGAGTCATCAGACCACCACAGATTAGGTGCTTTTACTGCTAACAGTGCCAGATGGTTATCGTCATTAAAGTATTTAGATCATTTTGTTAATGTAAACAGAGTCTAAAATGAGACTTTTGCATTGGCAATTTGGCATGCCTCGTCAATGACGATTCCATCATTTATGTGTACTTATTTATCTATTAGACTAGTATGAAAAACAAAAACTAAAAGAAACCCCTTCCTAAAATATATCCTTTTAAAATATAGCCTATTTTTATTCAAACGAAATAATGTTGCATAAACGTCAGCTCAAAGCAAATTCATACCTGAGAAAAACAGAAAAACTAATGTACAATACTGATCTTTTTTTATATGAAGACACAAATATTTGTTTAGGTTGGTATATTTGCATGTAATAAAGAAAATATAAGTCTCTATTCAATATTTACGACGTAGTTATTTGTAGACATTGCAAATTATTCTTTGTTGATGAATATTTATTTCCTTCAAGATAAGATAACAATCAAAGGAAATCTGTAGTGCATCATTTGTACCTAAAACAGTCACAATATGCCATTTTTTGTGCATTTAAATATACCTACTGTTTTGAGTATGCTTTACGATTAGTGTGAGTAAAAAAAAGTTAAAATGAAAAACTTGAGTGTGCAAAATTAATAAAAGGTAAAGATTGTAAGCTTAGGATTGTTGGACATACCACTTAACGTTAAAAAATAATTGTCAAATTAAAGAGAACTGTCATAGCTGACGTATAGCTGACTTGACGTTTGAATGTTTTCAAAATATTTTTTCCAGATAAACAATAATAAAATCACCACGAAATATCGATTATATTGTTAAAATGTCTCAGCATTTAGTCAATGAAAACAGTAAATACATTTTGGAGTAAGTTAACAATCGTATCATAACATAACCTCTTAATTTTTTAAATACATAGTTTCTAATTATTTGCTTTTGTTTACAGTTTATTTTCAGAACAGACTGTAGACCAACAAACACTAGATTCGATATGTACCCAGGTACAGAAGAAGTTTCCAAAATCAGACCACTTCAATTGTAAGTCTTGTTGATATTATAAACTTTATTTTGATTACCTTATGGTTTACTTTCAATAACGTAGGTAATAAAAACTTCGAATTACAATTTGGTTTTTCATAGGTTGATTAAGTTTACTCATTATTTATTAATAAACTAGCTCTATGAAATGTGTAATATTATGCATAAATACATTTGAACATTCTATTTATGGCAATGACAGAGGTTTTAAGTCATCAATGAGTAGTATTTGTTTATGTATAAACATTTAAACTGTACTTTTCTATTGCAGTATGTCTCCTCCTGTCATCACTAATAACAGGTGGGGACCTCTCCTTACCGGGTCAACGAGTGGTGGCTTTGGCCATCCTTTTTGATATCTACAAATTGGACAATCCCTTTGCATCACTATTCCTCCACCTGCTGGAAGGGAAGGCTGGTCTCCTTCCCTTAACTCCGCAGGAAAGACTGCTAATTGGACAGCTGCATGGATTCCTACCTGTTAATATTAAAGATGTAGGTATCAAATAACAAAGCGTCTTTTAAATGAACTTTTAGAAAAGAGAAAATTTTATTTCTACCTTACACATAACATCCATCATTTATGCCACTTAAAATTGTTTTGTGTGAGAATTAAACCTACAACACATTGCATAGCAGCTGTTTGTTCAGCTAATGTGTCCATAATCTCTAAGCCTCTTTCTTCTAAATTCTACCAAACCATTTGAAGTTGAAACTAAGACTAATTACCTGATCCAAATATGGTGGTTACTGTTTTTATGACATCGGCTACTGTTTGGCACCCAACTACAATAGTAAACCTCAGGGATAAATTTGGCTCAGCCTGACTGCTTTAATGTTATATTACTGAAACCCATAAACATATCTTTGCAGGTCATGAAGAAGTCAGCAAAACAGGTAATGCTGACGGAGGTGTCTCCAAAGGACCTGGAGTTTGATTACTCCTCACTACAGACTCTAGTTGCGGAGAGGGTCGCAGACATGAGCTCGATGGCGAGAGCGGCGGCGCCGGCGCTGATACCGCTCAGTGACGGGTTGGTTTTTTTGCTGTAACTAAAAAGAAAAAAAAATTTTGAAGACAAATCCCTACTAGCATCAGGATTGACTGTAGTGTATAATATACTATATGGTGTAAATTATAAAGTGAAACAGTTGTAAAATTACCTACCAATGCTGAATATAATTTTAATAATAGTATTTAGTAAAAAAGCAATGATAATTAAGTAAAGAAGTAAGTCATTATAACAAAGATTTGTGCTCAACAATAATCCTATTTGTTCGATACATCTGGTGCTTTTTTTCGAATGCCTTTTGTTCTATTAGGATCCTTGCACACAATGCTTCGATAAGATGACACCTCAATGATCCAAAGAGGTTTACATATTCTCAAATTTTTGCAAGAAGGTTCAAAGAGTTTGCAATCAAAGTCATCACTGTTGTGAAATAGATTAATTGTTCTGTGAAAATAACAAACTGCTGTATTTCTGTTAATAACATGCCGAATTTTGACACGAAGGTACATTCTTTGAGGAAATTAAGTTTCGCGCCACAAGTACAAAGTAAAGGTAAAGTCATATAAATCTTGATAACTGTTTGCAAATTTTCACTGCAGGAGTCCACCAAACCGTATGGCAATGAAGGAACTTTTGGAGAACCTGATATCTAACGACTACATGCCCCTGCATCGCACACTGAAGGCATCAGGACCTATTCCACTACCAACCTTCTTGATGGACACAGCAGAAATTACTGCTGACAAGGTATTCTTTTGGTAAATGATGAAGCATATCCCTGTGTATGTTTTATCCTTAAAAATACGACGCGACTGATTTTGATGCAGTTTTTTCATAGAAAGAGATATTGAAGAGTAAGGTTTATATGTATAATAGTGCCAGCTACTCTCACGCGGTTTCACCCGGTGCTCCTAAAGATCATAACGTGATGTTTTATAGTCTATAACCTTCCTCGATAAATGGACTTACAAACACAAAAGAAACATTCAAATCGAACCAGTAGTTCCGGAGATTAGCGCGTGCAAACAAACAAACAAACTCTCTAGCTTTATCATATTAGTATAAATAACATCCATTAAATAGTCGAAAATTTTTTTATCAACTTTGCAAGCGTGCGAAGCTGAGGCTTGTCGCTAGTAGTAGGTATATAAATTATTACTTACTTGCAGGCGGTATGGAAGTGTCTGGTAAATCGTGGAGCGTACATCCCGCTGTACGATACTGACTACGAGGGGCTCGTGGGGCTCCGACCTGAGAAGCTGGACAGGAGACAGCACACCACTCAACCACATAAACCCAAAGTAAGAATCTACTGAAATATGTATAATCAATTTATTGGAGTTTTCTGCTATCAATGTTTTAAAATTAGATTTTATTATAGGTTCAAAATTGATGAAGTTTTTTAACCCACTTAGAGGTACTTATAATATTTTGCCTACGTCATAATATCTACCCGCATGTCGAATTTCAGTCCAATCCGTCTAGCTAGTGGTTTGGGCTGTGCGTTGATAGATCGCTATGTCAGTCAGCTACCTTTGAGTTTTTATATTTAGATTATGCTTAAGTTTCGACACCATAGTCATGATCCCAACAAATTACTATGATGAGCATTAATCACCACACTTGCTTAAGGCGGATTGGCGATTTCAAACTTATATTTTTAAATATTATAAGACCGGGGTCCCTCACGATTTTTCACCGTAACTCAGTGGTGTCTATATTATTTTAGAAAGAACAAACCATGTAACTTGGAAAAAGTCACATTGGCACTTGCCAGGTTCCGAACCCAAACCCGAAATCATACATGAGAAGCGGGCGCCATAACCTCCGGGCCACCACGACGGTATCTTTATCTTTAAAGTTTTTTTACTACTATACCGTTTAAAAATCCTTTAGCAGGAGGAGAAAAAAGAGAAATCAGAAGAGAAGAAAGTGGAAGAGAAAGAAGGAGTGAAGGTAGTAGCGGAGGCGAAGGAGCTGACGGCGCTGGCGCTGCGCGGCGCCCTCAGCGTGCCTCACCAGCAGAGGCTGCTCGCGCTGCTCGACCATGACCCCAACGTCGTCTACGATATTGGGATCACGCCCAACCAGGTACATGTATATGAGAACCTTCATGGTGATATTCGTGATCTTATCGTTAGTAAACTGTTCTTGTTTCTTTTTGCTTAGGGTGGTCGTCTTTGTATAGATTTTTATTTTTTTTTATAATAGGTATACTAGCTTCACCCGCTGCTCGGCTACATTTAATCGTAGCGTGATGTTTTATAGCCTATTAGCACTCAGGAACATTGTAGCTATCTATCAGTGAAAGAATTTTGGCAATCCGACCAGCGGTTCCAAAGATTGCCACCTACATACAAACTTACAAAATTTACCTCTTTATAATATTAGTATAGATTAGATGTTGCCCGTAGCCCACGTGTGTATGTATCATCAATGTTTTGAACTTATTAAAAGATAAAGATCAATTATTAAAAGATTTTCATCTTTTAAGAAAGAAACTTTTGTGTAATATCATCAAAGACCCCACACACACGTGTGAGTGAAAGCTTTACCCAAACACCGGGCTGGTAATTAAAACAATTTCATTATATTCTAACTGCTGACAATTTGAAACTAAGACCAAAGTCTTACTAGTATTAGAAACAGATTAATTTGTTTTATTATAACACATATAAATATACCAATAATGTCAACATTAGCCTTAAAGCTGTAGTCATCATCCCTGCTGATTGATTAAATTCGAAAGTGTAGCACTTTCTTAAAATTCATTAGATAAGAATTTCGGTGCGCCATTATTGCCTGAATCTGGATGAAATTTGACATTGGCTACTTTGCCGGGGGATTCATTAGTAGCTTTCGCATCCAGCTTCGCCCGCGTGGTATGTCGAAATTTCAAACAAATTGGTCCAGCTGTTTCTGTGTAAAAGGATAATAAACATACATCCATACATTCTCACCAACTTTCACATTTATAATATTAATTGGATAGAGGGATTTTGTATTCTTATTTCATTTTGAAAACTTCTATGTGTTCCAGTTACCTGAGCTGGTGGAGAACAACCCGATGGTGGCGATATCAGTGTTACTCAAGCTGATCCACTCACAACACATCACCGAGTACTTCAGTGTACTCGTCAACATGGAGATGTCGCTGCACTCCATGGAGGTTGTAAACAGGTGAGAATACTATTCAACAAATATTCCTAAAGATTCCTGCTTGTGTATGGATGTACTGAGTAGGTATATTCCTAACCTTGAGAATTAGGTAATTACTGCAAGGTTGGCGCGGTAGCTGGGCAACTGGCTGCCGCGCTCCGTGTCGCGAGTTCGATCCCCACACCGATTCACAAATTATTTTACCTAGTCTGCCTGTGAAATTGTATACTTATAAACAACTCCACGATACAGGAGAAAATCCTAGAGTAAGGCAAAGTTGTTGTGGTTATTTTTTAATTTGTTGTTACTTGTTGTGTCCAAACTGTTGTTACTTTGTCTAGTCCGTAAAATTCATAAAACGCAGCAATCACCATCATCATCATAATCATCATCAACACGTTTTCGTCCATTGCTCTACAAAAGACTCAATATATATATATATATATTTTTTGTAAATCTTTATTTTATAAAAAGGGCTTTTTTCCAAACAGAAGATAAGTCTCAATAAATAATTATATTTTTAACCAATAAATAAAAACATATACTAAGAAAATTCCTAATAGGAAGACCCTAACTTTATCCAAGAGTGATTCTTTTACCAATAGTACTCTAAACATCACAAGCGCCACCTGGTGAGGGCGAAAAACTGACATTTTATCTACGCATCTATTTCAGATTGACGACATCAGTGGACTTGCCGGTGGAGTTTGTCCACTTGTATATAAGCAACTGTATATCGACGTGTGAGACTATACGGGACCGGTACATGCAGAACCGGCTCGTGAGACTCGTCTGCGTCTTCCTCCAGTCTCTCATTAGGAACAAGATTATTAATGTTAAGGTATGATATTTATTTGTTTTATTTTTATATTATGAAGCTGGAGAGTTTGTTTGAACGGGCTTATCTCCAAAACTATTAGGCCGAATTGAATTAATCTTTTTGTGTGTGTTAGTCCATTTATCGAGGAAGGCTTTTTAGGCTATAAAACTTTACAGACAGGGAGTTAAACCGCGCGGCAGAAGCTCGTTTTTTATATTATCGTTTGTCCAACTTTTATTTACTGACACAGCGGTTAATATAAATAAGAAGTTTTACTGCTAAAACATGCAATTGTTCGATGAGATACCTACATAACTCGACTAATTTCAAGCCATGGCGGGGATTACATTTATAATGAGCATTGAAGGAAGGAAGAACGAATGGGGGTTTTTTACCAAGAAGCGTCTGATACTCTCTTTTTTTCTCCACCCAGGTCGGAAGAATTCATTTGTTGTTTCTCCCATACCCCCCTTAAGAAGTATAAAGATTTCAACAAGGTTCTAAATTGTGTAACTTATAGGTAATGAGTTTATAGATAAGTGTACCTGTTGAGAGAAATAATTAAACGTTTTATCCATGACGAACGACATGGCAAATATTGCGCAACTGTTACAGATGCAAAAGAAATAAAACCTTATTTATATGTACACGATATATAATACAACAAAAAATCTGTGGCGATGTAAGCATATAGACATTGTGTATACATTTTTATTTATATCCCTCAAAAATATCGATTTACAGGAATTATTTATTGAAGTGGAAGCGTTCTGCGTGGAATTCTCTCGCATCAGAGAGGCTGCGGCGCTGTTCCGGCTGCTGAAACAACTCGATTCAGGGGACGGACTGGCGCACAAGGACGCCAAGGATAACTAGCACCCCTCCACCGACAAATAGTAATATATGAAGAGACAAGAGACCAAACCCGTAACGAATAAGAATCACTACATAGTATAAAACAAAGTCGCTTCCCACTGTATGTCCCTATGTATGTTCATATCTCTAAAACTACGTGACATACTTTGATGCGACTTTTGTCCTTAATAGATAGAATGATTCAAGAGGTAGGTTTGCGGACGAAGTCGCGGGCAGGAAGCTAGTATAAAATAGACCAAAAACATTGGTGAGGTATTTTAATTTATAATTATAACAAAATCATTGTTATGATATCACGCTTGTCTGTAGCTTTAGAGTACAGATGTTTGCAAGAAAAAGTTTCCTAATCTGTATTCTTTTTTTTTATTTAATTGTTGCCAGCGTAACTAGTCTCTCAATATATTTCTTTTTGGTTTTTTAAGAATTCTCCTTAGTAGCACAGTCTAACTTTATAGATTTTGAAAGATATACCAGCATCTATACAAATATGTTGGTGAGCGCATTACTCAACAATTTCTAAACATGACCAATGTTGCCAATTATTTTTGCTGTGTTTGATATTCAAGAGAATAAATAAATTATAAGAAAACTTTTAGAAAAGTAGATGGAAACATAGGAAAGTATTGACCCTTTCGTCGTTAGTGAGGTACTTGAGGAACGGGCCGTTAAATAATGGTACATTATGGTACAAGTATGTAACGTTGGTGATGACCGCTGAGGCGCATTGAGGCCCGAGCCGTTAGGCAAGGGTCTTAGGACCCGAGGACAGTGCGTTGAACCCAAATGTACCTGTATATATTGTGTTAACAATATCTAACATATTATTAGTTCGTTTTCATATTTTGTACAATTGCCTTAAGGTAATGTAGCCTTTATATGGTAAGCAGTAAGACAGGTTTCCGTAAAATTCAAATTCAGCATAAGACAAACTCGTTCTAGACAGTCTATAAAACTTTATCACATGTTTTATACCACTAAGTATATTAAGTACATAAATAAAATATATAATAAAAAATAATATTAATTAAAACATATTAGAGTGTATTTTTCCACGTTTAATATCTCTTTTATACCTTTATCTAAATTTATCACGAAATAAGTCAACTACTAACCTATTGTTATTGTAATACTGAATATAGATCCTCTTTCTGGACATATTATTATGTAGTCATATGTTTTTGTAAAGGAGTTATGTATTCTTGTATAATAAGCTAATATTTATTTAAGCTTACCCCTTACTTACAATTTACTCACGTGAATTAACTGCTAAAAGCTCTAGCATTTTTTGTATTTTAGGCAGTCGCAGACGCACAAGCTTCTCATGAATAATAGTCCCTGTTGTGACATGAATCTAGGTACTAGGGATTTTCTCAATCATTGAAGAGGTGTGTCGTTATTTTCAATTTACATTTGTATTGTAATTGGCATGTGGGACATGCCAATTAAATTGGATAGTTTCTAAAAAAATAATAAGCTAATGTATCCTGTTTTGGTATATTATGTAACCTATTTTAGACCCTTTATTTATGAATACCTATAACTACTACTGCGTGGTCAACCAAGTCATATGGAATGTAGGTACGAAAATAAAGTACGATTAATTATAGATACATTATGTTTTCAAATTTTTATTGTGTGCTGTACTGTATTTTTATAATGACAAATTTTTTTTCCTACGTCGACCGAGTACCTACTGAATTCATCGTTATTTTTTAATGCCATACCAAGTTACTTAGGTGTCAGGAAAATTATTGTAATGAGTTATATGTTGTATAGATTGAAATCAATCTGTTATGGCTTGCTTTGTCTAGCTATAATGTGTTCCATTATTGCTGTAGTGTAAAACTGTACTGTCCCTTTTTTATGGACAAATAATTCCTCCTATACCTTAATCTGTACTTTTTGGCTGTAATAAAAGCAATAGTATAAATTAAGTGTCACCAAGAATGGTTTATTAGCAAATAAGCAAAGCTTTTGTCTCTGTCCCGCATATTTCGATGTCGCATCCGCGCCTTTGTACAAGCCTCAGAAAAAGCGGGCAAGTTGGTCGTATAGTTAATTCATGTTTATAAGTAGTTTTATATTTAAATGTGCTGATTTATTTGAGCATTCACTTGTAATAAGTTTTCTTGCGATACTGACATTGCAGAAAGATAATGTAAGCGCCTTAATGATTGTTAAAACGCATAACAATAAAGTAGGTACCGTAATGTCTGACATCTTTATAACGAACTAAAACTAGAGTCTAGTTTTAGTTCGTTTAGTCTAGTTACTAGACTAAGGCGTCCGCAAGAGGGCGCAAGGAAATGTTGTTAGCAAGGTTAAAGAAGGCAAATCAAAAATGTCGAATATTGTGAACGCTCGGGTCTATCAGCACCATAATACTATTAGGTACTATCTCTATCGTATATGTGGCAACACAAAATACCTATTTTTGTAAGAAGTTAAGTCATATGTTTGTCATAGTAAAATTTATATTATATTGTATGGTTGCCTTGCTGTTTCTAGACTAACACTGATCAATTGAAGGTGTTATGATTAGCAATGTCGACAAATATCGTTTTAACATTGCATCTTCATAAAGAAAAATAATTGGTTTTCATGGTGAAACAATTTTTTAATCAACCTTTTTAACCTGATACAAATGTATCTGTTTCTAACATTATGCCAAAATGGATATCTGTTCGTGGCAGCAGATATGAGGGAGATTTTTTTATGGATTAATAAGCAAACGGTCAGACGGAATACCTGTAAACTTATACGATGGGGACGACAATGTTTCCGTGTGGGATAAAATGCGGCTAGGTTCAAACCGAACAATTCCACAGAGCCCTCCCCGTGGTAAAAGCGAAAGTCGGCCTGAGGTCTTAGGGCACTCAACGATTCGAACGGCTTGTCGCTGGATGTGGTCTAGAGGGAGAAGCTAGTTGGAACCGATCTTGCTCCTTATAAAGTAGCGTTGGATGCCCCGATATAATTCTTCCTCGATCTATTGAGCACACCTAGATTCTTTGAGGCTTTTTTGTGAGAGTAAAATCATCAAATTACATTTTTCGTCAAGGACGAGAAGAGTCTAACACGGAGAGTGTCTCCCCTCGAGAGAGAGTGTTAGACTCCTGATTAACGCCCCTCCCCGCTCCTCCCGCGGCCTCGCTCTAGGTCGAGGCCGCGGTGCCTTATTGAGCTTACCCAGCAAACCCAGCTAAACATCAACGCTTTAGGGCGTCGCCGGTGGTGGTCTATTAGCTCTATGACGCTCGCGCAGAGAAGGCTAGGCGTCGCTCGCAGTACGCAGGCCCGCGCAGATTGTTCGAGGCTGGACTTCGCTTGGCTTGGTAAAATATAGGAAATATCAAAGAGGATACGCACATAAAGTGGTTATATCGTCACTGGGAAATCTATGACATGTGCCTGTGCATAGGTGTTTACCTCAATCGGACTCAATTACTTTATTATTTAGATGAATAAAAGGTGGAAAGGTTAGGTCTTGTACCTGTTCATGTTTAAATGAAAGTTAGGAATGGGGTTTTTGTGAAGTGTCTTACAGAATACGTTACTATGAGTCATAGTGAACTAAATATTGAGGCGTAAGTAGTTTTTTATAACTTAGAAGGAGAGTGGATGTACGCATGTATGTATATCGAAGAAGCAAGTAAAAAAAATCGCCTTTTTGAATATGTGCTAGAGTAGTTTTACGTCTGAAATATGTTTTCATAAGATGAATTTTATTGTTTTTGTTTCCGTTACTGGCACATTTTGTGTATTTGAGTGTAATAATATGTTCTGCTTCATGTACAAAATTACATGTCCAACTCCTGTATGGAGTAAGTAATAAATTATTGTTCCTTTGCTGTTTCGAGTAATGCCTTCTATTTAAACGTATTTTTTTTTAATATTTGATGTAAACCTAGCATATTCCGGATTCGGCAATTACGACTAATTTACTATATTACCTATTTCTAGATTCTTATGTACTCCATGATTAGATACATAATTCAGATTAAATATTTTATACATACTGAAGTAATTATTTGGCTTATACAATTAGGGATGTATGTTCCGTGGAATTGATATTCGCAATAATAAAGGATTACAATAAAACGAAACATTATGAGAGAAATGGTAGATACAAGGAAATAATATGTTGTGAAAAATGTGTGTAAAGCTTGCAGTCCTTATAATTTCAATTGTATTTAACTGTTTTGTGTGATGTGTAAGTTGGCAATAAAACAAATATATAATATTATCAGTTTTTATTATTATGAATAACTACAATAACTCAATGATAATTCTAACTAAAACTTGCGCTTAGTCTAATGAAGGCATGAATACATGAAATTACATTTTCGGTTAAATAGAAAAAGCTACAAATTAAAGTATTCATGCCACCAGTTGACTGTAGCTTAGTCTACTTAGCACCTTCCAGAACCTTCCGAATGTCATCATCAGAAGCTAAGTCTAGTGGAGTACAGTCATCCTCATCTTTAAGGAGTGCAGCACCAGCTTTCAACAGTATAGTGGTTGACTCAATGTGGCCACAGGTTGCAGCGTAATGTAGAGCTGTCTGACCACATTCATCTGCAGCATCCACTGGGCACCCTCCCTCCAAAGCTGCTTTTAATGCTTCAGTTGCATTTCTGTCAGCAGCCCAGTGCAGTGCAGAGAGACCATCCTCATCCCTTTCATGACGGAGTTCTGGATGTTTGGAAAGAAGTTCTGTGACTCGATCAGCACAGTTCTCTCTGGCTGCATCTAATATGGACAATTCATTGTGTACCAGTTCAGGTTCTGGTAATTTCAGCATGGAAGATACAGCCACCCAGGCTTCCTTACCTCCTGACTCGTTATCATTTGATAGATCTGTCAACTCTGGCGCATACTTCTGTACTAATGCAATATATTTTTGTTTAGCCTCATCTTGTGGCATGTTGTGCAGTGAGTTCCATGCTTCCCATTTCTTGCGCCCCCTGCCATCCAACCAGCCAGGCTTAGGTATGTTACATTTACCCTCAGTGCCTTGTTTGTACAGACCATACAGCTCTAGCAGTTGGTTGTTATTCAGTACATTTGTTAGTTTTCTTACATGGTCGGATGCTTTGCTAAAAGATTTGTCTAAAGGAGACTGTTCATCATCAGAGAAGTCTGAATCTGGATATTCTGGAAGTGCTTCAGCCATTGTAAAAGCTAATTATGGCTAAACTTGGACAACTTAACTATTTTGAACTTGAACAACTAAATTCAATCCTTCTAATGTATGCACTTGCTTGTTAGTAGCATCTGCAGCAGCAGATGAGTTTGCAAACTCTATGAAACCGTATCCTTTACTAAGGCCTGTGGAACGATCAAACACTACTCTAGCATTTTGTACTGGTCCAAACTGGGAAAAGTATTCTTTTAGTTGGCGATGTCCAACAGTCCAGGACAGATTGCCTACATAAAGGCGGGCTGCTCTAGCTGTGCTGGCCATAACCTTAGACTGCTACAATTTCAAGTAAATGCAAAGATCTATCTCCTACCAATGCTCGGTAGTCAACACCTGAACTCTCACTGAGTGAGTCCAAGTCCAGCAGAGCTCCCTTCAGTCCCCACTTCTTCAGAAGAGCCTCAATGGACCAGTCTGCGCTGCGTTCCTGGTAAGAACATAAAAATCGGGCGTCAGTGCCGTCAAGGAGGTAAGCAACTGTCGATAGCACTTCTTCGAACTGGGAGGGCTCGTAAAAACAATCTGAAGCTAATATTAAGTCTACTGGTCTTAGTGTGTGAACTTCTGATAGGAACAGGCCCCAGGCGAGGCCTAAGATCTTTACGTCGCGATTGACAACAAGACCATTAGCCTCACAACACGCAGAAAGGTGCCGCAAGGAACGCGGCAGAGCGACGCTATCGGTGAGCGTAACACGGGCGCCGCACTTTGCAGCTAAGATGCCTGGCAGGCCAGTTCCACAGCCTAGCTCTAGTACGCGAAGTCCGCGTAAATGTCGCCTCTGCGTCCACAAATACCAAGCTAATAGTGGTGCCGACGGCCACGTGTAGAACGAATAGCCAGCCGTCAGAAGCTCCGGTATAACTATCTCCAAATATTCACCTCGAGTGTCTCCGTTACTTGATGACTTGCCACGAAACACGAACTTTTTCAGTTGGCCACTTACAGACCTACCATCGCTCATTGCATAAGCATTCCTTGCGATAAAGATAAATAAAATTAATTTTTAGGAGTACTCGTAAAGACAGCCGTCAGATTATTTGTTGCTAGTTTAAAAAAAATGAGATCAAAAATTATGTTTATGAAGGTAATTATTAAATATATTTTTATAAACTTCAATATATTCCTTTAAGATATCGAATGATATTCTAAACTCAATATTTTCATATTTTCTCTACAAAAATAAATAAATTTGATATAGACTAAACCATTTTTCAAATTGTCACCCTGGATCCATTCGTTCAGTTATCAGCAAATCATTCAATTTACAATATTGTGTTATCAGTCCATTCAATCGGTCTACAAAAGACAGCGTTTAATTAGTTCATGTTCATTCAAAAGCTGTGAAGTGTTTGGTGGTGTGTGTTGCGGAGAATTAATTATTTTTTTTACGAAAAGTACCTTATTCATATTCGAAATGTCTGTAGCAGCTAAAGGTAAGATTTAGTATAGATCATAATGATGATACAATACATCACTAATATGAAAATTCATTTAAATTAACACACTATTACCGAGGGGTCAAACTCCAAAGTTTTTATTAACAACTTTTCCAATCCTATTGGATATCAATATGAATTATTTTGTATACCTAATTATCTTATAAATTGTTTATTTCGTCTGGCCAAGTAAATGTAGGTATAATATATTCAGGTTGAAAACAAATTTTACCTTAACCACCTAAAATGTCTTGGTGGATTGAGAACTGTATACGTAGGTAGCGGGAATTTAGAAACAAAAAACATCGAAGTGATGTTTCTTTTAAATAAACAATAAATGTTTTTTTTTAAGTTGTATTTACTATGTATACTCTTTGAATCGAATTTAATGCTCGTGGGTTGGCTAGAAATTATTGTTTTTTGAAACTTACCGTGAAGCAATTTGTATTTGCTAAGTATAAGAAAAAGTGTTTATTCGACACGAGTCATATTTTATAAGATAACAACATAGCAAAGGTATAAATACATATATATATTGTACTTTGTATAGTACCTATATCGTATCATAAAAATCTTTTAAAGGTACTTCTCATATCCAATTCGGACCTCTCACTTGTTAACATCTTAATCGAACTCCGTGTTGTTCAATCTTTTCAAAAATTTGAAAGATATTAAATTAATAAGTAATACATACATAGGAAGTACTTACCTAATATATTTTGCTCACGGTCCAGATATCAACAGACCCTTAATAATTTATCAATTTGATCTTTTGTACGTACCTAAAACAGACGGGGCGAATAAAACATAAAACGAATTTGAGGTATGAACAGCGTTGTGTTTAATTTAATTTTAATTTATTTAATAGGTCGGCAAACGAGCAGACGGATTACCTGATGGTAAGCAATCAGCGCCGCCCATGGACACTCGCAACGGAGGAGTTACAAGTGCGTTGCCGACCTTTTAGGGATTTAGGAGGGATTGGGGAGGGGAAGGATTGGGCCTCCGGTAACCTCACTCACACGGCGAAACACAACGCTGTGGTTATTTCACGCCAGTTTTCCATGAGGCCGTGGTATCACTCCGGTCGAGCCGACCCATTCGTGCCGAAGCATGGCTCTCCCACACTTAACACGGTTTCGCCGTGTGAGTGAGGTTACCGGAGGCCCAATCCTTCCCCTCCCCCAATCCCTCCACAATCCCTAAATCTCCAAATCCTTAATCCCTAAAAGGTCCGCAACGCACTCGTAACTCCTCCGTTGCGGGTGACCGACGCTGATTGCGCGGCGCTGATTGCTTACCATCAGGTAATCCGTCTGCTCGTTTGCCGACCTATTACATAAAAAAAAAAATGAATAAATATACAATAGGGGTGAATTTTCCTAGTACATATCTATTTACCCCATTTACCGTTACCTGTTTTAGATTCCTAATTTGACGCAAAGGTTTACATACTCAATACATACACACATAGCAAAAATGTTACTCACTCAAAGACCGTAACTAATCTCCTCCTCCGTCATATTAGGTACTTATTGGAATATTATTATCTACTGGTGTCTTTCTTCAGCAAGTTAGAAAGAGGTTCTTTTTTTTTAGTTTTATAAACTTAAAAAAAAGATCCGAGAAGATCCGCATGTTCATGGCCGCGTTAGAATATCGAGTCTCGTTTGAAATATTCCGTATACCCTTATCCTAACCGAGCAGCTTAGGGTCGCCACTTCTCTATAGAAATAGGAGGCAAACGAGCAGTAGTATCACCTGATGGTCAGCGATCAGGGCTGCCCATTGACACACGCAACACAAGGGAGTCACGAATGCTATGTCCTATGTCCTTTTGCAAAGGAAGAAAAAGTAAAAGGTCCAATGATTAGGAGACAGAATTGTATTAGAATTAGAATTGCAGAATTGTAAGCGCAATGAGACACCGACACCGACTTCCTCCGCCCAGGGTGGGCGGGAGCAAGTGTCAGACTCTTACTGACTAAAAACGCCCCTGTTCCTTCTCCTGCTCTGGGCCGAGGTCGCGGTGCCTCATTGCGTTTACCCTGCAACCCTGGCCCCATAGGGCTGATGTTCACATCAGCCCTATGGGGGCCCGTCTGTGGTGGTCTATTGGCTCTTTGAGGCGCGCGTAGAACACTACGCGCCGTAAGCTCGGGTCTGGTTCGGCGAGCTACGTAATGAGGACTTAGGATATGGATATTACCCGTCATAACATCTTTTAAAACGATTGCAATATTTAATTATTTACCTATCATATTTATTACAAAGTAGATATATGTATGTATAGCAATGACAATGTTTTAACCGTGACTGTCTGTTTAAACATCGTCACCTAAAGTGATAACAACAATGAATGTTGGTATTTCTTATCATCGTCAGCATTTTTACAATCATCAAATTAAATTGAAAATCATATAAAAAGGCAAGATGAATCGACCCTTCTCTATCTATTGATACAGTAATAAATTTCGTTTACAACCAAAACTGTTTGGAGGTTCCGTAACAATGACTCAGAGATTCATACTATCTTAAAGAATAAAAATAGTATGAATCTTTCTATTTTCAATGGTAACTATGATAGATCATAGATAATAAAATTAAAAATATTTGAATTAACGTGTCCCCTCGATGTTGAACATGAATAAGAGTCCCGTGGTGTGTTGAAACTAGTAGAGCTTTTCTCAGTTAACTCTCGTAAGTCGTTATTATAAAACTGAATCGAAAAAAAAAAATAATTAAAATTAAATTTTGGCAATCCTTTGTTTGTCTGCTGCTCTCTGTCAGGAGAAGGTACCTAAATTTTTAGAAAAGTAGAAGGGAATATTGTGAATTAGGTATCCCATCGATGTTGTGGCGGTTCAACAATAAAGCAAATAATTGACATCGAAGTAGTTTGACTCCTGTGTGAAACAGGGACAGGTCCCAAATTTTCAATAGATTTGGTATTTTTCCACTATAATCGTGAGCCAAATTGCAATGTCTTACAAGTGATTAATAAAAAAGTTGTGAACATAATTTTCTTACACATTGGATTGTTATATCTGGTTAGGTATATCATATCAGGGTCGACAGTCCAACAGTCTTTTCTATGCCAAGTTTAAAATAGAGGTCAAAGTCGACGCGGTAATTTTAGACTACGAAATTACACTGACTTTACTTATCTCTATATGGATATCAGTGCGTCGATTCGTTTATCAGCTGTTAGGTATTTGCCCCCACTGTAAAAATTTATGGACTAGAAGAATTCAGACGAAAATTTTTGTATTGCTTATTTTACTCTACAAATACTAGTTTTTAATTTTATGACACACTAGCTATCCACCCCGACTTCGCACGGGTGCAATTTTGATACAAAATTACTTCACTATTTAATGGATGTTATTATACCTACACTCCTCTTTAATAACTTTGTCTATTAAAAGAAACCGCATCATAATTCGTTTCGTAGTTGTAAATATTTAAGCATACATAGGAATATAGGGATTTTCCCGCCCTGGATGTGGCAATAGTTAGTGTCAGACTGTTACCTACTGACTAAACCAAACGTAGGGCCGTCGGTAATCCCACACAAGGCAACGGCGGAATAATAGACGTATAAGTATACCTAAACGATGTTGTGCTCCCGAATAACTTGGTACAGAAGAAAACTTGGTAAAGGGGGAGCAGGAGCAGATTAACTTTTATAATATGCTATCAGAGACATTGAAATATCGCATAGTAGTAACTTTTTAGGAAAACATAAATTCTTTCTCCACTCAAGAACTAAACTTAACTACCGTTAGACTAACGTGACGATAGATAAAAATTTCGTCACATCATTTTTTTTTTGTCCTTTTTTATTTAGGGACTTTTATCCAAAAAGATATGACAGTCCCTCGTATCGTATCTTTAAAATGTGCTACATATACATATATAAATCTACTGAGTATAAAATAAATATGCAAGAAGGCAAATCCTGACCAGAATTCTGACGTAACTGTGTATCATTTGTCCAGGTATATTCATCGTGGGTGCCAAGCGCACAGCTTTCGGCACCTTCGGTGGGGTGTTCCGCAACACAACCGCCACTGAGCTGCAGACAGCGGCCACAGTAGCGGCCCTCAAGGAGGCCGGAGTCGCCCCCGAGAAGGTTGACTCAGTAGTTGTGGGTCAAGTCATGACGGTAAGTGCTAAATGACATTGAGAAACTGGTATACTGCTGACTTTCAAGAGATAACAATAGCAAAAATTAGGGGAAAAAGTCAAAAAGTCAGAAACAAATCAATTATTACGAATAGTGTAGTAGGCAGAGGCACTTGAACGTCAAACCAAAAAAATAATCATATTTGAACGTTCTGTGTGGGTCTGTCCTTAGTGAAGCTATTTACGCGTTGCAATACATAGATTCCTATGGAGAAGAACGAGCAAGAAACTTCATCGTTACTCTTTATCAATCAGTTTCACAATTCATTTCTATGCTATATTATTTCAGTTGACTTCTTTAGTTGGGTCATTGCAGTTGCAATTAGATGTGAGGTTT